CCTAAACTTGAAGAAGCCTCTTGGTTTCACTTCCTGATCTAGGAAGTCAACTATTACAAGCATGGCTCACTTTTGTCTTAGTGCGGAGATGAAATACCTGATGCCCAAAATTAAGGAAGAAAATTCTTAGGTAGCTCTCACTTTGTAAAGATTTCTGTCAGTAATCAGCTAACTTCAAAGTATGGTGGCATGCAAAGGGGCAAAGATCATGGTTTCAAAAGGGAGCAAACACAGTAAGATCAAAAACGGGAGAGCGAGCCCCTTTTCCTCCCTGCTGTGGTGAGCAGGCCACCAGCCAAGCCTGGGTGTAGCACACATCTCTGGGCCTCCTCTTGCACAGGCTCACCAGGTTTACAAAGTCAGGAGCTGGCCCCTGGGTTGCTCTGTTAAAACTCCACAACTTTTCAAATGGGCTCAATGAATCAACCATTACAACATCCCAGCGTGTCAGCAGCCTCCCCGGGGCATGTCCTCTATGCTCTAGGTTGTAGAACTGCTTCCAAACTGCTCAAATTGACACAGTGCGCCAGCCATCACAGCATGTCTTCAGCCTGCTGGAGGTGTGTAGGCCCCTTCCCACAGGGCACCTTCATCCTGATGAGGACGCGTTCTGTGTTCCCAAAGCAGCTGCCTTTGGAGACAATCCAGCACTCAAACCTAGTAACAAATGCAATAAAGCAATTTGAAATGTCCATTTGTTTACTTATTGTATACATCAGAGGAGAGATTTTAATAACATGGGGAGATGTTGAGGCAAATTATGGATATCTGAAAGTTGATTGGGGAATGACATAAAGACAGTGACCATAGATCACTTTGTTGATAAAGAAGGAAATAGGAGGCTTCTAGACAGTGGGAGAGAACAGAGGAGCAACCAAAAGCTCACAGATCGTGGGAGGGACCTGCGGGACTCACACCTTACAGGAGAGAAAGCTGCTGAAGAGAGGGTTTAAACATCTATAGGGAAAAGCTGCATTTGCTAATGTAATAAATAAAAACACAAAAGTGAACAAAATGGAATCTAACATTTTAGAAGCTCCAAGAGAAAAAAGTCTTCCTAAACGGGTGAAGGTAAAGAGGAGACAACACACTGTATGTGTGGGTGATTTAAAAGATGAATGACTGACTAGAAGTGATGCATGCTGGGTAAGTAACCCATCGTACGCGAATCCCACCACGCACGTGAGGAAATAAGCGAAGGGGCAAAGGGCTGTTTCAGTCTAAACGGATGATTCAAAAAGTAAAATCTAAATATGAGTCAAATCAAAAATGGCTGCTAAGTTCCATTAATCCTTAGGGATTCAAATTAAAGTGATAATTAAATGTCCTTTTCCCTATAAAATTGAAACAATAGAATCACTGCATTGATAATATCCAACAGTAAGACGAGGATGTGGACACTCACCTATTCTTGGTTGTGACATAATTGGACAAAGTGGGGGGGTCACTGTGAAAGAACACCTGAATAAAGTACAGACGGACCGGACTGTTTTGTAGCAAACAGAGAAAGACAGATGTATGTATTTATTTCTTAGTATAAAAGGCAAATTTTAGGTCAATAAATATTAAATGAGTCCCTTCCTGATAAAATTATGCAGTAATCTGTCCATAGAGATTTCTTAAATACACTAAGGAGTGGAAAAGAATTTTAATGACTATCAGGCACTTTAGGGAAGATGAAATTTGATAAAAAGATGGGAGAGGAAACATTCACGCTGGACAACCTTACATAGTTTTTATAGTAGTGGAATTATAAATTATGTCATTGTGGAGTGGCTTAGTCAATCCAACTAGCATAATAGTACATCACATAATTTTTGTAGCAAAAACAGTTAACATTGGTTTTCCTGGCAATTCAAGAATTTTAGGGGCTGGGTATTTAGCTCAGTAGCAAAAGCATCTGCCTAGCAGGTACAGGGTCCTGAGTTCGATCCCCAGTGCCAAAACAAAAAAAGTTTTTTGCTTCCGGTTTTTTTGTTTTATTTTGTTTTGGTTTTGCGGTAGCAAAAAAAATGAAAAAAATTCAGTGTTACTTTTTTCTTTTTCCTCTCTTCCTTTCTTCTTTTCCTACCTTTCTTTCCTTCCTTTTTCCCTTCTTTCCTGTCTCTCCTCCATTCTCTCCTTCTTTCCTTTCTTCTCTCCTTTCTTCCATTTTGTCATACTATTGATTGAACCCAGGGCCTTTGCACTGAGCTACATCTTCAACCCATTTTTAATTCCTTATTTTCAAGCAGGGTCTCGCTGAGTCACTAAGTTGCCAAAGCTGGACTCAAACTTCTGAACCTCCCGCTTCAGCCTCCCAGAGTGCTGGGATTACAGTCAACGGCCACCACCTCTGCCTAAATTTTTATCCTTTTTCAAAATGAAGACCTCATAGACTTTTTGAAGTGCTAAAACATATCAGAAATCCCTTCATCCAACTCCTTCATTTTGTGCATGAAAAAAAAGGGGGGTTACTCACAGAGAAAAATAATTTTCTGACCTGGTACCTAAGAAATGTTGGATTTGGACTGACCCAAATCAGAACAGTTTTCATGATGCCACATAAATCCTCTTTAGCCATGATTAAAAGGAAGGACACATTATGCCTGTGATAACTACAAATAGATGTCTTCCAAACAAGGACAGGAATTGTAGAGTAGCTATTAAACAAAATGTACTCCCACCAAGGAGAAATATGACTAAGATGATATAAATATATTGCTATTGTATATTATATAGCATGCATAAAATAAGAGAAGACAGGTGACTTGAATTGATGTATGTTTTTAATACATTTAATAATAATGAGCTTCTGCAAATCCTAAAATTTGCACCATGCTGAAGTTCAAAACACCATGAGAAGCTACTCCATGCTTTCTGGTAGGATTACAGTGCCCCCTTCAGTTTGCTGTAAATAATACATTTTGGGGGGAAAGTAATTAAAATATCAACTGGCATGCTTTAGAAATCCACTTCCCCTTCTTGAACTGCCTGAGGAGGATCAGACTTTAAGCAGAGCACACAGTAGCATCCACAGCAGACACCTAGTTGTGTAAAAAGATGTGCACTATGGAGCAGGATGCAAACGAGCACATCCCTGGGTTATACTGATGGGAGCAGCTTGGCAAACGGGACAGCTGCTTACAGGCAGCTACTGGGATCAACTGTGGGAAGATTTCTCACTGCAAATCGTCCTGTGCTCCTTGAATTTGCTGACCATATGCACACATGAATATTTCAGGTAAGGAAAAGTTAATAAATGCTTTAATTACCTATTAATGCACAGTATGTGTCCAAATTTTAAGCCTCTCTGTCCAGAAATTTCGTACCTCTGGAGAAGTCACTGAATCTTCATTCTTCCCCTGCCTACTTTGGTTAAGTCGCAGCCTACCTCCTGTTACCTTACTCCACACAGCGCCAGTGTGCCCGTGACCCGGAAGCAGTGCATGCAAGGTCACAGCTGGAAAGCTAAAACTCACCATTGGGCCATAAACTGCACTCCGCTTAATAATCTGGAGAGAAACTAGTATGCACACAGTTGGACTGTCAGTAATTACAAATACTCAATGTATGTATAATGATCTTTGTTCCAACTCAGTCCGCCCTCTCCAAATAAGTGTCTGAAAAGAAGAGAAGCAAAGAAAGGGAAGGAGCAGACAGGATGGCTGCTGTACACGGGCAGCGTGAGCTGAGCAGGGCCATCTGTGCAGAGCCCGGGATCCCAGGGATGGAGGAGCTGGGTGGAGCCCACTCCCTGGCAGGCGCAGCAGGGAGAAGGGGCCAGGCTGTGACTCAGGAAGCTGCACAGGGCCAGTGTGGCTGAGGTAGACTGAAATGGGGAGTCAGGCCACAGGGACAAGAAGCCAAGGCAGGCTGAGGGTGTGGCTCAGTGGGGAAGCTGCTGGGAAGCTCTGAGAAGCCCTGATCTCAATTCCAGAGAAAACAAAGGGAAAGGAAAGGAAAGAGAACAAAGGAAAGGGACAGGTCCTGAGAGAAATCAGGCTGGCGACAGTGACAGGGTGACAGCAGCGTCTGGACAGAGGTGACCGGCCCAGAGCTGACCACTCCCTTGCTGTGTTGAGAACACACAGGCCACCAGGTGGTGAGGGGGGTACGTTCCACAAGAAATGACTGAGTTTGGGAGCAGGTGGGCAGCAGAAGGTGAGGTGACAGCTGTTTTCCAAGGAGTCTAGAGGCGGCCCCAGAGGAATTTAGAGACACTGAACACTGACTTGGAGAGAGCAGGAGCTGGGGAGATGGCATTGAGCTTGTAGCCTGGGTACAAAACAGAAGCCTAACCCAAGGCCGCAAGCTGCGGACTGCACAGGTGGGGAGCAGGGCTGGGGCGCTAGGGGCCTTGGGTTTGCAGTACCCCAGACATCATGGTGGGTGAGGAAAGTGAGGCATCTGCTGGCTGCTGAGCCTGGCCAATAACAATGATGGGGGCACAGGAGGCAGAGGGGCCTCCAGGGAGAGTTACAGCCTGCAGGCAGCCTGCAGGCACAGGGCAGGCAGGAGGGTGGGCAGGGGACAGGAATCCACACACGGTCCTCTCCGGGAGCTTTTGACTTCACAGTCAGATAGCAGAAAGGACTTACCTGAAGGAATTCATGGATCCCTTCTGATTCCCTTGTTTTGGATCCTGGGAATCCTTCACAAGCCTCCCCTTCTCCCCTTCTCCCCTGTAGTCTTGTACCCAGGCTACAGGCTCAATGCCATCTCCCCAGCTCCTGCTCTCTCCAAGTCAGTGTTCTGCACAATTGGAGATGCCTCAGGACAGCCTCCAGGACCCGGCCCATTGCCTCAGGAGCAGGACCACTGCATGAGCCTGGGGGTCTGTGCCTCAGCTGTCCCGCTGTGTGCTCAGCTCTGCCCTTTACCCCCAAGCTGACTTCCTCTTAGCTGTAGATCTCACCCCTGATCTGGCCTGTGGATCAATCTGTGGGACTCACCTGGAGAGAGGCCAGGGATGGGGGGCTGGGCAAGAGGAAAGAGAGATGGAGACAAGTTGAGAGGTTCCAATCAAGTCTCGTTTATTCTGAAAATGGTGACAACTATTATATAGGATGGAGATGGGCCAACAGTGCAGGAAGAGGGCATGGAGTGCTATCTGATAGGTCATTGTCACATCCGGATATATGACGTGAGCAGGAGAGGATTATGGGTAATGTAGGCAGATGTGAGGATCATGGGAAATGTAGGCGGATGTGGCAGAGGCCCACAGGAGGGTGAGATAAGGTGGCAGCAGTGAGATATGCCACTCCCTATATCTCCTCCCTTTTTATTTATAATATCAAGAGTATGGCAGGCCTTGTGAGGACGGCACCTGTCTTGGGTCACGGCTCTATTTGTGACCCCAACCAGGCCTTTCCCGTCTTGGGCCTGCAGGACAGCAGTTTGTCTTGTGCCTGTCTTAGATGGCTTGGCCGTGTGACACAAATGTCCAAGTTGCCCATCTCTGTCTGCCCATCCAGTGCCTCAAGGCATTACGACCACATCATTATGTGGTCAAGCAGTGGATGTTCTTTCCTGATAAGTTTGTTGTTCTGCCATGTCCAATTGATGGTAATATACCTGAATGGGCTTTGCCATAAATGCGCCAATCCTGTTATTAAGGAGTGTCATGATCCTCTGGAAAATACAAGGGCCTACAGTAAGGAGTAGCAATAAAGCAGCTAGTGATCCCAAAAGGGGGGCAATGTAAGGGAAGAGACCCCCCCCCACATGGAAGAGAAGGTAGTTTCTCTGAGGCACTCCTTTTCTCTCTTTGAGGTGTTCTCTTAGCTTAGCCATGGACTTTCTGACGACTCCTGAGTGGTTGGCATAAAAACAGCATTGTTCTTTGAGGACAGCACATAAGCCACCCTCCTTCATAAATAAGAGGTCTAGTCCTCTTCTATTTTGTAGGACTACCTCAGATAAAGACGTCAGGAATGCCTGTATAAAGCCATTACAGATCTTTCTATTTCTTTTAAATCTTGATCTAATGCCACCTGTAATTGAGCTAGATGTTGATTTCCCAACACTAGAGCTGTAGTCCCTGTTCCTATCCCCATTGCGACTCCTAACCCTAGTAATACAGCTAAGGTGAGCGTGGCAGGTTCTTTTTTATACATATAGCCAATTTGTGATGCCTGGAGGTAGTAGTCTCCTGGGTGGAATGTTATGCGAGGAAGAACCTGTACAAGATCACAAAAACCTGTAGACTTGTTAAAAACAGTAGTTGCTATGCAGGGTGAGAGGCCAAAATTGCAGGCCCAAGATGCTCCTGGGGGAAGGATGAGGTAATTGTTTGGTTGGAACTCTGAATGAAGCTGGGCACAGGTCGTACTGCCAGTGCTGGTGGGTGGCTGGAGTCCCCAAGACAGGTCCCTCTACCGGAGACGTCAGGGAGAGTCAACTTGTGGTGATTGCCCCAGTCACAGGCAGATGAGCTAGAAGAACTGTTAAAGGTTAAATTGAGGGCCTTTCCTTCATAATATGGAGGAGGAGCAACCAAGCATAGCCAACAGGTTTGGGTGAGATCAGGTTGGGTGTGATTAAGGCCAACATAGGCCCCAGAATTAGGTTGTACAAGTTAAAGTGTGGAGCAAGGGTGGAACTTAAAGGTGCTGGAGCGGCTGAGAAAGTTTGGGGAGAGCTTAAAGAGGGGCAGGCAGTTGTCAATGGGGGTGAAGTTACCACCTGACCAAGAGACCTATGGTCGTTGGGTGGGACCAGCACCGGATTTGGGCCCACTGAGAGAGGTGTGTTGTAATGGGTTTTTTAGAATTTGGATAAGGTTTCTATGGTCGTGGCCCTGTTTGTAGAAATGAATGCCACAGGTATGCCCCGAAGTCCAGCCTTGTTCTTGGGGTGTGGTGACATTGAGGGTCACATTTCCGCAGTTAGCAGTTTGGCGGGAGCCCCACCCCCATATTTTATATCCTCTTGGCTCATAGCCGAGCATGACATGAGTGTCAGAGATTGGGGGAGACCAGCCGGATGTTACCACCATTTCACAACCCCACTAGGCACAAAAATAATGGCCCAGGGAGTGCCAATAAGATTTTCCTAATGTTGGCGAGGGGCACATGTACAAAGGCTGCTTATAGCAAAATTTTCCTGAAGACATTGGAATGACATAACAGGGATCAAATCGAAGGCTAGGGCTTCCAGATCCCTGCCAGGTAGTAACGGGGCACCAGTCTCCTTGGAGCCCGTCCCATTTTTGGACGGTCCATAGGTTGATAGGGATTATCAGTCGTTGTGCACAGGTGTAATCGTGTTAGAAATCCGATGATTGTCCATGAGATGTTATGGTCAGTATTTTTCTGTAAAAAGAACACAGAGAAAAAGCTTCAGGGGGCCACATCATCCCTGGGCGCATGAGAGGCCTGTATTAATTTGTCTGTTTTGTTGTGTATCAACTTGTCTTGTGAGCCATTTGGGGAGCCTAGCTCCCTTTTTTGGTGGGAGTAGATGCAAACAGAGCCTCGTCCCCAGATAAGGACTGGCTCAGGGCCATTCCATGTGTTGGTTAGGGGATCTCTCCATAATACAGATGCAAATTGTGTTGTTGTCTGCGTGTGCCAAAAACGAGATGCCACTCAGCAGCTTGAGGCATCCAGGGATAGAAAATTCAAAATAAAGAGAGCATGTGAAAGAATATTTCTAGGAGACCCTCGGGTTGGGTACCAGGTTCCCCCTTTTATTTTATCTATGGTAGATTTGAGGGAGCGATGTGCACGTTCAACAATACCTTGTCCTTGAGGATTGTAAGGTATACCTGTGGTGTGTAGAATACCAAGGCACTTGCAAAATTGGGCAAAGGAAATACTATTATATCCTGGGCCATTGTTGGTTTTGAGCTGTTGGGGGCATCCCAGAACCGAGAGGGCTGATAGCATATGGGCTATAATATTTTTGGTAGCCTCTCCAGTCTGGAATGTGGCAAAGATTAAGCCACTATAGGTATCAATGACCACATGTATATATTTTAAGTTGCCAAATTCATTAAAATGAGTGACATCCATCTGCCACAAGGCATTGGGGATTAAGCCTCTTGGGTTGACTCCTAGGTGTTGAACAGGCAAGTGAACAGCACAAGAGGGGCAATTTTTTACAATTTGTCTGGCTTGTTCTTGGGTAATTTTGTGGAGGAGGTAGAGAGTCTGGGCAATGAGATGGTGTAGCTGATGAGCCTGTTGTGCCTCAGATATCTTGGAGTCATCTATAGGCTCAGAGTGGGTCATGAAGACCTGTGTCTGTGTGGCAGTATCGGCCAAATGATTTCCCTGAGTGAGAGGGCCCGGGAGACCAGAATGGGCTCGCAAATGGCCAATAAAAAACTTATGGCAGCAGAGCTGTATGATCTCTTGTAACTGCCTGAACAGATTTGCAGCTGGGGAGGCGTGACATATGGTTGCAACAGTTTCTAATAACAGGACAGGCTGGTAGGCACTATCGGTGAACAAATTGAGGGGTTGGTTGGGGTAAGTGGTGAAAACTGCCAGGATGGCCTATAATTCTGCCAGCTGTGCAGAAGAGGTGTCTGTCTGGAGGGTAAAAACATTGTCTTGAGCTACATAGGCAGCCTTGCCGGAGGAGGAGCCATCAGTAAAAAACACTGGGGCACCAGAAAGGGGCTGTGAAGCTGTAATTTTGGGGAATACAAATGGGTGATGATTAGCAAAATCAATTAACTTATTTGGAGGATAATGATCATCAACCATCCCTGAGAAGGAGGCTAGTGCAACAGGCCATGCCTCAGTAGTCTGGAGTAGCCAGTCTACCTGATCTTTGGTGAAAGGTTAGATGATGACATCTGGCTCTTTACCAAAATAGCATTTTCCTTGTTTTCTGCCTGGGATTATCAAGTCAGAGACTGCTTGGTGGTAGGGTAACAGGACCCTTTTCAGGGAAATTGACAAATGAAGCCACATAAGAGGAGCTTGTTGCCAAAACACTGCCGTGGGGGAAAGTTTTGTGTCAAAGATGAGGAGTTGTAAAGGTTTGTTGTAATCTATGAAGGAAACAGTTTGTTGAGCAATAGCCTCTTCTACTCTATGCAAAGCTCTTCTGGCTTCAGGTGTGAATTCACGGGGGAGGTTGGATCAATATGTTCCTTAAGAATTTCATAAAGGGGTTGTAATTCATGTTGGTCAATTTTAAATAGGATAAGAGCCAACTAGTATCTCCTAAGAGTTTTTGGAAATCGTTAAGTGTCTTAAGGCCATCAAGTCTTAGTTGAGGCTTTGGAGAAAACACCTGAGTGCCTTGTACCTGAAAACCTAAATATGTATATGGGTCAGTAAGCTGGACCTTGTCAGGGGCTATTTGGAGCCCAGCCTTTTGTAAGGCAGCTTGTAGTGCCTGGTAACACTGTAAAGTCTGGTCTTGACTATCTCCTGCCATGAGAATATCATCCATATAATGGGAGATATATATACTTGGCCAATGATCTCTGACTGGCTGTATTGCGGCAGTGACAAAAGACTGGCATAGTGTAGGGGAGTTAGCCATTCCTTGTGGAAGTACCCACCACTGGAATCTTTGCATAGGAGCTCTAAAGTTAATTGATGGAAGACTAAAGGCAAAATGCTTTTGGTCATTTGGATGTAAGGGAATAGAAAAAAAGCAATCTTTAAGATCTATGACAATTTTTAAAAATCCCAGGGGGATGGCACTGGGTGAAGGGTGGCCTGGCTGTAAGGGTCCCATTAAAACCATGGTCTTATTTATTGCCCTAAGGTCTTGTAGCAGCCTCCATTTCTCTGACTTTTTTCAAATAACAAAGATAGGTGTGTTCCAGGGGGAGTCACTAGGGACAATGTGGCCTTCATCTAGCTGGTCCTGCACCAGCTGTCATGTGGCTGCAAGCTTTTCAGAGGTAAGGGGCCACTGATCAACCCAAACAGGTTTATCTGACAACCAGGTAATCTCTTTTACATGGGCCGCAGGAGTGTCAATGACCCCTATTGAAAATGGCCTAAGCCAGCTTTTGTTAGGTTGGGGACAAGGGAGATGGGGGCCTTAATGCCTGTGCCCTGTTTTCCTAGGCCCTGATTTGAGAGAAATCCTTTTTTGAGCATTTGTGCTGTGACTATACTGTTGGGCTACCCATAATTATTCCCATTTGGGTAAGTAAGTCTCTCCCCCATAAATTAAGAGGGAGTCCTGTAACAACATATGGCTGTATGTGTCCCTGGTTGCCTTCTTGATCTTTCCATATGAGAAGGTTGGCACTACGCTGGGGGTTTTTTGATTGTCCAATTCCTTGTAGATGGGTCATGGAAGTTTCTAAGGGCCAAGTGAGGGGCCAGTCTCCTTTTTAATAATAGTCACATCAGCACCTGTATCTATGAGGCCTGAAAAACTTTTTCCATCTAACTGTAAGGTCATAAGGGGCTTATCTTTAGATATGGATTGGGCCCAATATATATCTGAGGACCCAAGAGATGAGTCTCCCCTATAGAAAGCCATGGCAGTGTTGGAAGTCTGAACCAATGGCAAAAGCACCAATTGGGCAATACATTGTCCCTGTTTAATAGGGATGACACCAGAAACGGAAGAAGCCATGATTTTAATTTCTCCTGTATAATCACTATCTAAGACCCCGGGGACAATTTGTAACCCTTTAAATATGGTACTGCCATGTCCAACTATCAACCCAAATGTATTGGGAGGAGGGGGGGGCGAAAATCCCTGTAGGGATGACTTGAGCACCCGTATCTGGGGTTAATACTGTGTTGGAGGTGGAACAGAGGTCCAATCCTGCGCTTCCTGGCATGGCCCAGAGGAGGTCTGAGATGGATTGTTTTGTGCTGGGTTGTTTTGTTGTGGGACAAACCTCATAGCCCCTGGGGCTTATCCTGGGTAGGGGGTATGGAGCTGACCCTGATTTCCGATTCCCTGCTGGGGGAGGGGGTTGCCCTCTACATCCATTTTTGATCTGAATTCATTAGCCCAATGATATCCCTTTCTGCATCTCGGGCATAAGTTTGTGGGTTTTGGTTTGGGGTTATTGTGTTGGGACTTTTGGGCCGTAGGGCAGTCTCTGGCAAAATGGCCTGTCTGATCACATTAAAAACATTTGCCATTATTTATTTTCCCTCCTTGCTTGTGTGCGAGGAGGATCTCCTTTACAGCTGCAGCTGTACTTGCAGCTGTGACCTGAGCTTGATGGTAGGCAGGGCCTATGTCAGCACACAAGCGAATATAACCTGATAGATCCTCCTTTTTTGGAGGTTTGATAGCAGCCTAACAGGCAGGATTATCATTTTCATAAGCCAATTGTTTAACAAGGTCAGAGTTGTCCTCGGAGGTGCCAAAGAAATGCTCAGTTGCCTGTAAGAGGTGATCAATGAAATCAGAGAAGGGTTCCTCAGGTTTCTGTTTTATTTTGTAAGGGAAGAAGTGACTCCACCAGAGGGAAGCTTTTTCCATGCTTTGCTTGCTGCCAGAGTGATCTGAGCAAAAAGGCCTGCCTCATATCACATTTGAGGTTGTTGTGTAGCATATCGACCTGTTCCTGTTAACATGGAAAGAGTATAATGATTTCTCCTGTTAGCATTATCTTTAGCTAAAAGTTCACATTGGTCTTGGAATTCCACCTTCCAGAGCAGATAATTGCTCTGGAGAGTGTAGCTCTGGTTAAATCCCTCCAATCATTAGGCGTAATCCAGCCTTGGGTTAAGGAATCTAAAACCGCAAGGGTGAAGGCCACCGTGGGACCATATTGGGATACTGCTGTTTTTAATTCTTTTAGAGCAGTTACTGGGAATGGTATATGGGCCCTACTAGTCCTCAGCGCTAGGGATGGTGGGTCTGTGTCTGTATCACTGTCATGTGGGTCAGAATCATTTTCTTCTTCACTATTATCAGTTTCTATATCCCATGTCTGTAGGCGCGGTGGCTGTCTTTTTTTGTTTCTCCTAGTTGTTGTAATAGTCTGTGTTTTATCCCTTCCATGTTCCTGGCTTGGGGATCGATCCCCACATCTAGTTCGTCTTTTTTGTCTCCCCCTTTCTTTAGTTGTTTCACTGCTGCCATCTTGTGGACCGGCACCATCTTGGGCAGGTCGAGTTGTCTCTCCGCCATTTTGTAAGTCATTGCCACCTGTGCCAGTTGGAGCGGTTTCCATTACCGGAAACAGTAAAGGAGGCACCATTTTTAAGGTATCTGTTTTTGGACGGTGGGTTATTTCTGTTACCGGGAACATCATTGTTGGTGCATCTAAAGGGGGATGAGAGACTACATCTAGCGACTGAAGTTGTAAAATGAGTCTTTGTTTCTCCTGTTTTAATTGAAGCCACTGTTGTAAATAATGGATCTCTGTCTCTAGATCAAGGAGATCAGGAGGTGGAACGGGCGGCTTTTGGAAGCCAAACGGAGGGTTATCTATCTTTTTTGTTATGCCTTTTGTCACTAAGTTAGAATCAACAGATAGTGCAGGGGCTGCAAAAGGGGGTCTCTCACCCTGATACTGAATAGCCCCTTCCTCTAGTTGTGACCAATTAATCTTTGGGAAGTCAGAAAGATCAGGATATATAGGCTTATATGATGGAGGGGGTGTGATGGCACCAAGCTCTAAGGAGCACTGGCAGCCAGTTTGAATGGTGGCGCCATTTTGAGTGCCCCCATGTATTTCAGAAAGGGGAAATGGTGGCAAGTCACCATTTTGGGAGTCTCCAGAGGGGGAGAAGTCGCCATCTTGAGGGGCTCTGGAATATCAAGAACCACAGAGCCAGGAGAGCTGGGTGCTTTGGATAAGTCTGGCGGCTGTGGGGTACAATTGCAGGAGGCAGATAATGCAGCCTCACCCTGAGCAAGGGTCTCTGCAATCTGGGGATCTGTATGACGTTGCGTCAGCAGCTTAGAGATTAAAGTCCAATATGCATAAGAAGTTACCAGAACCTTTTCCAGACTGAAAACTCTATAATAGTCTTTGAGAGCGTCTCCTACTCTTTGCCATCTTTTTGAGTCAATGGAGCCCTCTACAAGGAACCAGGGACACACAGAATGCACAAACTGAAAGTACTGTAATAAATCTTTAGTTTTACCCTTAATCCCTCTAACCTTTAGTGCCTCCCTGAGGCCATTTACAAACAATTTGTGTTCACTAAGTGCTTGCCCATGCCAATCCTGTTCACCTACCATGATTCAGGCGAAACGTAAGGTGGCCATCCGCACGGATCACAGGGACAAAGTCCCGAAACAGTCACGCCAGCCGGCGATTTACTCCCATGAACGGTCCCGCATCGAAATCTCTCATGCCAGGTCGAGCCCCACGTTGGGTGCCACTTGATCTGGTCCACAGATCAATCTGTGGGACTTGCCTGGAGAGAGGACGGGGATGGGGGGCTGGGCAAGAGGAAAGAGAGATGGAGACAAGTTGAGAGGTTCCAATCAAGTCTCATTTATTCTGAAAATGGCAACAACTATTATATAGGGTGGAGGTGGGCCAACAGGGCAGGAAGAGGGCACGGAGTGCTATCTGATAGGTCATCGTCACATCTGGATACATGACGTGAGCAGGAGAGGATTATGGGCAATTAAGGCAGACGTGAGGATCATGGGAAATGTAGGTGGACACGGCAGAGGCTCACAGGAGGGCAAGATAAGGTGGCAGCAGTGAGATATGCCGCTCTCTACACACCCCAAAGCAACCACCCCAGGCCATTCTCCAGCATTCCACAGAAAATGGCCCTTCCTGTCATCATAGGTTATTTTTCCTACATGTTTATTCTGTCATGTCTGCTACCTCCTAGAGACGGTCATTCATAAGAAACCAGCACTCTGACCCCACCATATCTACCTCCTGCATCCCACTCTCCTCTCCTCCCTCTCTTGATCCAGCTTCATTTTTCTTCTCAGTACTTGTTTGTATGTGGTGTGTGCGTGTGTGAGTCTGTGTGTGTGTTTAAAGAGAGAGAGAGACTGAGATACAGATAAAGAGAAACAGAAACCAATAATCAAAGGTATCTGTGTGCTGTTAACCATCTATCTTAAGAGAATGACTGCTGACAGCAGGTGCCTTTTCTGTTCTATGCATTCTATGTCTTTCATCCTAGAGCTTTATGGGGTACTTAGTAGTTACTCAATGAATATTTCTTTTTAAACTTTTGTATTTTTTATTTTATTGGTACATGTTGGTTAATGAGTATTTCTTGATTAACAAATTGGTAAGTTAAATGTTAAGTAAAAATAGAGTATGTAATAGAATGTGTCATACCATAACTCTTTAATAAACATATAATACATACACCTACTACACTGATGACATGAAAGACCATCCATCATAAGCCAGGCATGGTGGACCACACTTGCAATCCCAGCCTTCTGGAGGCAGAGGCAGAAGAATCAAATGTTGAAGCCCAGCTTGGGCATTTTAGTGACTAAGCAAGACACTGTCTCAAAAACTAAATACTTTTCAAAGGGCTGGGGTTGCAGCTCAGTGTGAAAGTCTTGAGTTGCATCCTAAGAATGTAACAAAGAAAGAAAGAAAAAGAAAGACATTATGGCAACCTTCATAACATAGCACAGTGAAGGGCAAATGTGACCCCTCTGCTCTTGAACCAACCCACTTTGTCTCATCAGAGATTTTCATTAAGTATATGTTGCTTCTTCTTCTTCATAAACTCTCTTCAGTTAAATATGTGCAATGTTTGCCTACAATTGAAAAAATAAAAACACATCTTCTTATCTCTGTTTATCTTCTGTGTCAGTCAGTTTTCCAATCCAATGAAAAGACCTGAGATGAGTCAGCCCATAGAGGAGAGGTTGGGCTGATGGTTTCGAAGGATTCAGCGCATGGTGACTTGGTCATATTTGAGCTTGTGGCAATGCATCTTGTGGGAAGTGCAGACAGAGGAGGTCCTCACCATGGGGCTGGAAAGCTAGAGACAAGGCAAGACTGAGATCCACTGTCCTCTCCAAGGGTACAACCCATGGCCCTCTCCTAAGCCTTCTTTTCTGGGTGCTGCCATTCTCCCTGCCCCCCAATTGCAGGCTGTCAAGCTGGTAGCACACAGGGACACTGATCCACACTCTAGTGTCTTACCAGATATAGCCAAATGGCTTCATTCCTAGCATCAAAAAGGGAAGTTTATACTAATTCATGGTGGTTATTCAAGACAAATCTTATATAAGCACAATGATTTTTATTTACTGTTCTATCAGTGCTTGCATGATTAAAATATTAATCATAAAATAGTATGTAGCTGGGCATAGCGGCACATGTCTGTAATCTTAGCACTCTGGAGGCTGAGGCAAAAGGATCATATGAGGGCAGCCTGAGTTACAAAGTGAGTTCAAGGCCAGCCAGAACTGCAGGGCAAGACCAAAAAAAGACATATATGTATATATATATATATATATATATATATATGCAGTGTAAAGTAGATCTATCCTCTCAGGCTTCACTACAAGAAAATTAAGTGTAATCTATATATTCTTTCAGGGAGTATGTATGCAAATCCAGACGTATAAATTGTTCTTGAAAATATAAAACTGGACCACTCTTCACACAATTCTGCATTTTGGGCTTCTTTCAGTTAATGATGCATCTTGGGTAAATTTCAAAAGTACACATAAACACCTAGACCATTCTCTACTGTCTCCATAAGGTCCCATGTATTGGCATTTAATGCACTTCGATCATTTATTCCTGTAAACAGTGTGAAATTAATAGCTTTGCCTGTGTGTGTGTAAATGCACTAAGTGTATGCAGACTATTTAAATGTACCTGGAAAGACATTCATAAAAGTAGAATTACTGGCATAAAGAAAACACAAATCTTCAGTTTTTGTTAATATAGCAATGATGTACTACAACATTTTTAGTATATAAGCAGGATGTAGCCAGGTGTAGTGGTTCATGCCTGTAATCCCAGCACTTCTGAAGCTGAGACCGGAGCACCTCTGTGAGTTCAAGGCCAGCCTGGGCTACAAAATGAGTTCAAGGTCAGCCCTAAACTGCACAGTGAGGCTTTGTCTCAAAAAGACAATAAATAAGAAGAATTTTCAACTCCTTGAAATCGTAATTATAATAATTTAAGGTTATATCTTTGATTAAGGAAAACAATTCTTTTTGGTGCCAGGGATCAAACTCACGATTGCACGCTTGTAAGGCAGGTGCTTATGCTGCTGAGCTAAATCCCCAACCCAGGGAAAATAATTCTTTTTTTTTTTTTTTTTTGTCTTTTTCCTTTTTATGGGTACCGGGGATCGAACTCATGACTGTCTGCTTGCAAGGCAGGCACTTATGCCGCTGAGCTAAACCCCCAGCCTCTAAGGGAAAATAATTCTTGACGCTCCCTAAATCAATCTAGAAGCCGACTAAAACTACGCCTAAGAAAGGTATTAGTACACAGTATGCCACACTTACAGTAAAGGAAAACGAATCTCTACTGGGGCAAAGCATACAATTCTTTTCACTCCAGAGGCAAAGGGAGTTGGAACACGTTGCTAAATGAGTTTCCCAGGTTCTGGGAATTCTATCCATTAGGTCAGTCTCTTAGGAACTGACAGCTATGGAAACAACACAGAGAAAGAACAAAATCTGAGCATAGACTTGCTAAGGCATGCACCAGGCTCCTTATATTTCTGAAACAGTAAGTTCCAACTCTTGTCCTCTGGTTTTCTGTTTTTCTGTTTCGGTTTTCATGTTAGGGAGGTTTTCTTTAAAAGATTGTAATTTTTTTCGACATATATGTGTGTGTGTATATATATATATATATATATGTACACACACACATATACACAAGTACGTATATATGCATATAAACACATATATATCGTTAGATACACACACACACACACACACACACACACACACACACACATAGGTGGAGAACACGGTGCCCGGTGCCCGGTGTCTTCCAGCAGCTGCCAGCTTTGCACTTCTCACCTGGACACCTGCAGATCCAAATCCACAACTCTTCAAATTCCTCACCCTCCCTCCAGGAGGTGGACGCGCCTGCCTCCTCCCAGCTCGACGACGCGGGTGGAACGGCCCATGACGTCACTCCAGGGCGCAGCCCAATGAGGCGCCGCGTCGGGGAAAATTTAAACCCGAGGCGGGGCAGCTGGCCGCAGCGCAGAGCGGGTGGCGGCGGCCATGGCGGAGGCAGCGGCGGTGGCTGTGTGCGTGCGGGTGCGGCCGCTGAGCAGTAGGTGGGTGCGCGGCGCGGTGGCGGTGGCCCAGGCTTGGGGGCGGAGAGCCCGGGGCGGCCGGAGGTCGGGGAGGCCGTGCCCGGACGAGCCCAGCAGGGCCCCGCGCCCTTGGTCACTTTGACGCGGGCTGAGCCCTCCAGCATCCGTGCGGACCCACACCCTTTCCCGCAGGGAAGGAGCCGGGAATAAAGTCAGAGGGGGGCTGCCAGTGGCGGCGGGTTAGTGATCGCTGCCCAGGAGAAGCAGGGCGGCTGCAGAGAGTCTGCGTCTTGCTGGCCTCGGGCTGCGGCTCGAGACGCTGACACTGAGTGAAAAGTTGTTTTTCAGCACCACCTGGAGTTCATCAACCAGGCCCTGGACACTGGGGGTCTCGCGTTTCGAAGAGTGCTCTGCATTCACCTGGCCGGGGGCGGGGGAGGGGTGCAGGAGCTGTGGGCAGCGTCAGGCTGGCAGGATGACAGTTCCGGTGGGGCAGGCTGAGGCCGCAAGTCCTGAGCCTTGCAGGAATGGAAGAATAAGTGGGAAGGTGTCCAGAGACGTGACATCTTTCACTTAAGAGAAACCTTTGGTCAGTCAATTTGTAGGTACTTAGGGTGTATATAGGAATTTAGAGGAAGAGAAGGTTAGAGAAATGATAGGACCGGGTATCATGAACCATGCTTAAGTACTTCAAGCTGCTAAGGTTTGGAAGCAAGAAGGACATAATCCCAGTGCATGTTTAGTCTGACCCTTCAAGGGCCTGAGGATGGGGCTGACCGGCTTCCCTAGGAAACTGCCAGCAGAAGGCAGGAGTCTAAACCCCTCCAAAGAGAGCAGAGCACTATCCCTTCCAAAGACAGACTTTCCAGAGATCTCTTATGTAAGTCATTGCCATCTTTCAAAATGTGCATCAGAGCATGTACATTTTTAGATTACCTTTCCTGTAACAAGAATTCTATTGTCATGTATGCTGTACTTACATGCAGTGTTTTTATTCTGTAGAGAAGAAGAACTTGGAGAAGCTCCCCAGATTTACTGGAAAACTGACCATAATGTTATTTATCAAGTTGATGGGAGTAAATCCTTCAATTTTGGTAAGCTTATTGGCATCCAAAGATTGCTTTTTGCCTTTTACTATTACCAGTACCAAAGGCCTCTCAATATGCCGGGCATAGTGGTTGTTATGGATTAAGAACTGGTGGTCAACTTAACACCAGCTGGATTACATCAGCATGGCCCTGAGCATAGATGTTCCACCTGAGGAAAGTTGCCAGCATAAATAGAGAGGTGGAGAAGGAGAAATCATTGCATTGAGGCATTGTGGGTTCTCCTACGAGTTGCTGTTTGAACCATTGGTTCTCCTGGAGAAGCTCTGGCCCTTACATCTAGCATTGCTTCCTGGCTCTGGAGGGGAAGACATGTGCTGCTTGGTCTCCAGGATGAACACATCATACTGGCTTTCTGGCATGTACTAAATTGTGCTTGTCAGAGGAGGAGCTCTGGTCTCCTTGTCACTGAGGATGGCTGTGGTGTTTTTCAGGACATCCCTGGTCTTTGTTGTGAGTGTGACTTCTTGGCTTCAGTGCAGAACCCTCAACCTGTCAGTACAGCTCCTTCACCGTGCTGGCATAGACTTCCTAGCTTCCACTGCTGACCTTGGGCCCTTCCCAGAATCTGTAAAAAAGACTGGCATGAGTCCTTTTTGTGGGCTCTGGACCTCCAGTTGTATTGGTGGGAGGCATTCTAGGTTTTCATCTGGACTTATGTGGGACACTGCTGTGGGATTTAAGCCTTTGACTAAATAGTCTATGTCTTTGGTGTTGTGGATAGATTTCCTGCAGTTTCTTGTGTTAACTCTAGGAGACCATCATAAAACCATATTATACACACCATGTCCTAATTCTAATTGTTCTGTGTGCAACCCCTGACTACAACAGTGGTACATGCCTATGATCCTAGCACTTGGGAGACTGAGGCAAAAAAAACAAAAAGCATCAATAATACTCCATTTGCCATTAAAGATGTGTTAATTTCTTCATAGGGAAAAAGCTATTTCCCTGTGTATGAGAAGATAAAAAATCATTCTTTAAAATACAGTTATAACCATATTACTGTATGATTAAAAGTACCATTTTCTCCACTAGACCCTTTGTAGTCTTAAACTATAAATCCAACATGTTTCACAATGTCAGGCCATCTTTAAGATCTGTATATATTTCACAATAATTGTAAGTCAAACATCTTAAGTAATAAATGGTACAGATATTTCTTTTATGTCTGTGAAAGTTGGTCAGGGACCAAGTCAGGTTCTGAGGCCTTTGAGATGTGGTGGAGGGGAGGCAGGTTGACAGGACATGCTTTGCAGGGACACAGTGAAGGAATAGCTTAGTGCCAATGTCCTCAAAGGGCCACTCACAGGGAGGACCTGAACTTCAAGGTGACTGAGTTGATGTCATTATTGACTGACGTGTGCAAAGTGCCTATCAAGTACCAGACACTGTTCCAAGCACTTCATGGATATTAATTCACTCACTCAAGTGTTCCAGACCAGTGTCTGCCATGGATTCTGTTACCTGCCCATTTTAAAGAGGAGAAAGGGGGGAGGGCGGAGTTACACAGCCCACAAGAGGAAGAGGGAGGCCATGGCACCCTATCTGCTACAGGGCAGCTCAGGGCCATAGTGTCCTCAGTAGCCAGTATTCCTTACATTTGGGGAAGGGCTTTTCAGAAGCCAAAACTAAAGCAGAGACTGTCTTTAAGTTTTTATGGGCTTAGATCCTGACACTTTTTTTCTTTGGGTAATTACTAATTCAGAATGAAAACACAGCTGATTTAATTTTGCATTTTTTTTTTAAGATCGTGTCTTTCATAGCAATGAAACTACTGCAAATGTATATGAAGAAATAGCAGTGCCGATCATCGATTCTGCCATACAAGGGTATAATGGTTGGTGTTCATTTTATGCTGCAAAAGTGTTTTGTTTTCAGTGTCCGTTCAATAAGTATCGTGAGTCTAAGATACTTAGCTTTAGTTTAAATCTTTGCATATGTGTGTTTTGTCTTTGCAGGAACTATATTTGCCTATGGGCAGACCGCTTCTGGAAAAACCCATACTATGATGGGCTCAGAAGATTGTTTGGGAGTTATACCCAGAGCAATTCATGACATCTTCCAAAAAATTAAGAAGGTAATACCTTAGCGCGTACAGGAAAGAATAGTCATAATCAGCTAGAAATTTGTTGTCATTGGTTTTTGTTCTTTGAGGCAGGTCTTGCTGGTCTTGAACTCAGTATGTAGCCTCGGCTGGCCTCAAACTCAAGGTGATCCTCCTGCCTCAGCCTGCTGAGCACTGGGATTCCAGGCCTGTGCCACCATGCCCTGCTCAGCTAGAAATCTTAATGTTTTTCTCTTACACTGATGAACAGATTTGCACTCCTTTGTGAGTACCCATGAAGAAAAGCGTAGCATAGATTCAGTTTGATGCCCGCAGATAAACTTTATGGAGGTTTAAGTTCACCCATTTGTTCTCTTGGATCCTGCACCAGTAACACATTCAACAAGTGGGTACTAAGTACTAGCGAATCTTCTCCCCATGGCTAGCTCCATGCTGCTGCTGGTGGTTCGCTCCAGTGATTATGCCAGAAAATTAACGAGTAGATGTTGGTGAAGGAAGAAAGGAAACAGCAGGCTGGAATATGCAGCCTATTTAGTTAGGAGTTGGTTTTCAATGAGCATTTTCATTAGAATAAGAACATCTCTTAGGAGGGTTTTATTTTGAGTCTAGAGTTAGATTGTATACTCTGATTTCATGGTAGCATACTTTGCAATTTTTCTGAAGTGATACTTTTGTGTTTTTGTGTTTATGACTGTCAACTTAGAACGGTTGGTTTTATCAAGGTCATTTCTTAATGGATATGCATTCAGTATTAGATTTTCTTAATTGGATGCTTTTTTTGATGTTTGTACATATATTTCTCTTGCAGTTTGCGGACAGAGAGTTTCTCTTGCGTGTGTCTTACATGGAGATATACAACGACACCATTGCAGATTTACTCTGCAGTACTCAAAAAATGAAACCTTTGTTAATTCGAGAAGACATCAATGTGAGTGATGGGAGTTAAGGCGGCTTGAAAACACACTTCTTGGGATGATTCTGCCTAATTTCAGTGTGTATGGAGTTCTGTATTAATACATACAATTTTAAAATGCAGCTGTAATGTTTTGGTTGAAGTGTCTAAACACAGCAAGATGGGGAGATCAGGTTGGAATTTGGTGTGCTTTGATGCAGGCAGTAGATTGTAGGCATTTGTCGATTTGCTTGCTATTTTCCTATGGAATAATAATTCCATGTTTTAACTTCCACAAATGAATTCTGCAAGAGTTTGTACCTGCTTTTTGTATGTAAGGTGTATTTGTGGACTGTTTCTCTTATCTGTGGATAATTCATCTGGTTACAGAGGAATGTATACGTTGCTGATCTCACAGAAGAAGTGGTTTACACGTCTGAAATGGCTTTGCGCTGGATCACAAAGGGAGAAAGTAAGATTCTACCGCATTTGTCTTCTTTAATACACGTTTGACAGCTTTCTTCAGTGAATGATGCTTTTCCTTCTTCAATTCAGATAAAATAGACACAAATCACACTTGTTATTAGTCTAAAGAAAGATTAATGTTTCTGCTGGAGTGCCATATATCTAGCTAAACTATAAATGATTTTCCAGAGAACAGACATTATGGAACAACAAAAATGAATGAAAGAAGCAGTCGTTCACATACCATTTTTAGGATGGTAAGTCCTTACTCTGTTTGTTCCTCTGGTCTTTCCAAGTAAGCATACACTGGTATTTATACAAATGGCCCTTTCTGTGTAGATTCTGGAGAGCAGGGAGAAAGGTGAACCTTCTAACTGTGATGGCTCTATCAAGGTGTCCCATTTGGTGAGTATTCCTAAAGTATAATGTTGCGCCTGCAGGGCCAAAACAAACTTTACCTAAACTATTGTATGTTTGATTTAATTAGAGCTGTTAACTAAATAGGAAACAGAAATCTCTAAATTAGCAAATCACTGATCTCATCAGTAGCATCAGATTACCAGCTGAAATGTTGTAGAAAGAACTGGGAATCTTCCTGTAATGTCACAAGTGCCATCTAAATTGTAGACATAAAGTGTGTGGGAGTGCAGGTTTTTTTAATCTCAGGGAAGCAGGACAAGTAATGTTAAAATGGAAAGATTTTTTTAGTTGGCTGGTATAATTCAGCCTTGTGTGATCAACAAACCATTGGATAGGATGGCTGAGGCATAAATCACATCAAGTTTTTTCTTAGGAAGAATAAGAAAGTGCTTGTGTTACAGATGTTGTCTTTGGATTTCCCCATGTGCTCTGCAGTCACTGTGCCCCTGAGATGTGCCCAGCGTGTAGGCAGGGCTTTCTTTTCTTTTTTTTCTCTTTTTGGTACTGGGGATTAAACTCAGGACCTGGAACTTGCCAGACAGGTGCTTGTGCTTCTGAGCTAAATTCCCATCAGTGCTTTAGAGCCCCGCTTTGGGGCAATGTGGTTTCACCCTCACAACCTCCCACTTGGCATGCAGTCCTCGGCACCCCTCATGAATGTGTGCTGGCATCATCTGTCCCTCTTTTCTTACCGGGTGGCCTCTTGTTCCCCTCTTGCTGCACTGTCACCACTGTCCACTGCCTCCTGTTTTCCTATCCCTTCTCATCATGAATCTAGTCCCCCTCTTCAAGGCCAGATTCTTTAGCTTGGTATTGATGTGATTTCAGGTTATCCTACTTGATTTGAAAACCTTGGGGGGAAAATTAATCTGTCACATGTTTATTCATTTTCAGATTTTGTAAAGTCAGTTTCATTAACATCCATTCCTTACTTTACCTTATTTTGCTATTAAAGTTTAGCAGGTAGTGTAGTGTAGTTTCAACTTAAAAGCCACAATGAAGGAAAATCAAACTTCTGTTCTTCAATGCTGTAATGCCTGTAATGCTTCACTATAGTTTTGACTTTCTCTTAATGATTTGATTTTAATTCTCAGTTATTCAGTGAGCTGTGTGTTGATTTCTCTCTTGTCCTTTGCTGTGTCCTCAGTGATCTTTTTAGAGACCTTTGGCCCGGCCTTCAGTCTGCCCAGTTGTGACAATTTTTGTGAAGAAATGCACCCCAGGAAGCCCATCTGGCCTTGGAGTGGCCCTTCTCTGAGTGTCCTGAGTATCCTGTGTCCTTGGTGGTGGGGGATGACAGTGTCCAAAGTCCCCTGGGCTCTGCTCCTTTGCCACCTCCCCCAGTCTCGATCTTTCTGCTGCTTCCTGGTGGCCTCTGGAGAGTGCTCCCCGGCCTTTCCACTTCGGGTTCTTGCTCTCAGGTCTTGGGGTACCATATCCTTGCTGATGGCCGCCAGATCCTTATGTCTTCTGCAGTCCTGGGTTCTAATTCATACCTCCTTGAAGACTGCTGGAATTTCATATCCCATCCTTATCTCAAACTCCAAGCTCTCTAAAACCAGCTTTCTCCCTTCTGTGAGGACTGTCCCTTCCAGTACGCCCACATCATCCTGCCACTCAGGCTGGACACCCCTGGTAACCGTGGCTCATTTCTCTTTCCTCTCTGTTCATCTCATTTCTTCCTGGTTGCAGTGTGGTGCATTTCTGTGGGTGTCGTCTCCTTTCCACCCTCGTGTCCCTGGCGTCACAGCTTGTGATTGTGAGACCTGACCCCCAGCACCATGCTTTTCCTTCCTTCGTGCCATCACACAGGTTTCTAATTCCCCAACCACACTTTGGTAATGTCGCCTTCAGGACAGGATCCTTCAGCACATTGACTCAGTTCAGACTCCGCTCTGAGGTCTTGTGGGTATGTGGGAGGCTCAGCCCATCCCACGACCCACCTGCACCCATGCTGCCTCCTTCAGCACTGCCCACTCTGGGTGAGTGTCTGCGTCTGGAGTGGACACACAGGACAGCAGAGATTAGAGCCTTTGTGGGTGTTAGCAAAGAGAGTTATGGGAAATCGCTGAAGCCCGAATGTGCAATTGGCTGCCTGAAGATCCCAGAGAAGTGAACAGCAGCCAGGCTTCTTTCAGAGCCTTCAGAACCCACACTGGTGCTTTCCCTGCTCCAAACGGGGCCCTGTGCTTACTCACAGAAGATGCTGCATCCTCCTGCAGAGAGCCTCTGCCGCCTCCTCCCCATCCTGTCCCCCTGCTCCCCACACCCTGCAGAGCCTCCTGTCTGGCCGCCTGCTCCCCATGCCAGGGCACAGCTGAGCTGTGGACGTTGGTGTCAGGTGTGTCCCTGCCCCTGTGTGAGGCCCTCAGGCCTGGAATTCCCATTGAGTTTGGGTAAATCTGTAGTTCTCTGTCACCCTGGCTTGTGCTAGCTCCTGCTCACTGGCTGTGTCCCTCTGCCCTCTGTCACTGGTGTTTTGCTTTGAGACCTGGGCTATTCTTTCTCAGTACAGTTCGCCTTGGTCTCTGATAACTGGCTCCCTCGTCACTGTCTTTCAAACCTTAGTGTAAAGATGAGTCATCCTTGTCATCCAGTTGAAAAACTATTCTGTCCCTCCCAGCTCTGTCCTGATCTTCTGTATTACAGCTGTCACAAGGTCTTTGGTCCTTTCTCCCTCTCCCGAGCCTTCTTAGCTATGTAGGGTGAATAGGACTTTGAGAACAGGGACCTCAGAACCTGCCACACTGTGTGGAGTGTGACAGACAGTCACTTATTTCCAGTGTTATTTTTGAAATGACAGATGCATGCCTTTAAAATGCCACAGGGTAGTCAGTCACACATGACCAGCCCTACAGAGTCAGTGCTCTGAGAATCAGTCCCATCTGTGAAGAGCTCCGGGTGATCCCTGGGATTCAGTCATGCTGTGTGAGGAGGGGAGACATTGGCACAGCCATGCTGGGAAGGTGACCTTTGCCCTGGCCATGAGTGGAGCAAGGGTGGACTAGAATATGGAACTAAAGAAATGGGCAAATCCACTGCCCTCAGTACCAGGTTGTAAAGAATTGTGTGTGCCTCGGCGAAGTCCTGCACTCTGGGGGGAGCCTGCAGTGGTAGCGTTATCCAGCGTGTCCTAAAGGCGGGGACAGGTGGAGGTGAGAGGAAGTGGGTATCAGTGCCTGTGCTGGAGCCAGGACCCAGAGCAATGCTGAGCCAGGACTCAGACCATGTATAGGAAACATTTGTTGAGTAGCTCGGAGATTGTTACTGAAATTACCATACTAAAGTTTGCTTTCCTCCTGCAGAATCTGGTGGATCTGGCAGGCAGTGAGAGAGCCGCTCAAACAGGAGCTGAAGGTAAGCAGAACTCAGGAAATGCAGTGGTCTCTGTCTTCCTGTTGCATGGCATAAAACATACCGCTAAGTGTCTAGTATGGTAATGTGAATTAATGTAAGCACCAGTATCAGCATCTCATTGCCCTGGGGCTGTTCTAGCGTCTGTTGACATGAAATTGTGCCCTTGGTAGGACTGTGCAGCTGGGAAGCCAGAGAGTCGCACAGAAGCAGTCTAAGCTTTCCTGTCCCGGAGCAAAGGAAGTAGTGGGAGGTGTCCTGTCAGCACTGAGGTTCTGAGTCCAGCGTGTCCACGTCTTCCCGTGTTCTGAGTCATCCCGTGTCCACATTCCTGCCATCTTAGCCCTGTCTGCAGGGATGGCTTGATCCCAGTCTAGACACTAGGTGCCAGTAGGCAGTGAAAGGCAGAAGGACAGTCATCCACATCGCTGTGAGGTTGGAAGTCTGTGGGCGCCTGTAGTTAATGATTTGGGAAAAAGAGGATCTAAACTGAGGAGGAGCTCTGTAGGGAAACAGCCTTCCCTCCCGCCCGCCCTCTGCAGTGCCTCTCAGGTGTAAAGGACAGGAAGGATGCTCCTACCAGGTGCACTAAAGCGGGGCTCAGGTCCATCTGAGTCTGATACTTTCCCATAGCAGCTGTCATGTCTAATTTCTCCTAAGCTGCTGTGTATCACCTTATACAGTGACGGTTGGTTTTCATATTTGTCTACTCTAATCAGGTGTGCGATTCAAGGAAGGCTGTAATATAAATCGAAGCTTATTTATTTTGGGACAAGTGATCAAGAAACTAAGTGATGAACAAATTGGGTAAGTTTATTCCGTTAGTCTATTGTTGATAGTTTTTATTGGGTTAAAAATAACACTTGAGTATTTTCTGTCAGAAACACAGCAGAGCTTTGCTAGCTTCTAGTATATGTGACTATAACTGAATGAATTTGCTATTTTAAATATTTTCGTTGCTTTGGTCTATTACATAACCTGTAAAGAATTAGTTTTTATACTTGAATTTTTTTTTTTTTTGGTACTGGTATTGAACTCACGACCTCAAGTTTGCCAGGCAGGTGCCTATGCCATTGAGCTAAATCCCCGGCCCTAGTTTTTATACTTGACTAAGTGTTATATGCTACAAACCAGCCACCTTTGTTACATAAAATTCTGAAATCTCTTTCTCCCCAATCTCTTTGCATGCTAAGTGGTTTTATCAATTATCGAGATAGCAAATTAACTCGAATTCTCCAGAATTCCTTGGGAGGAAATGCAAAAACTCGTATCATCTGCACCATTACGCCAGCCTCTTTTGAGGAAACTCTGACCACTCTACAGGTGAGTTTGATTTTTATCTCAGCCCAACATGGGGCTGAGCAGCTTGCTGGAGGAAAGATGACTGACTTAAAATAGATACAGTTTTTAATAATTATATAGACACACCTGGTATAGTAAAATTGATGCATTATCTACCAAATATCAGCCTTAATCTAGGTTTCCCACACTTCAGTCCTTTGAGTCCCACCTCCATGTTGTTTACTGCAGCTCACTTTGTGTGCTTCGTTTGAAATAAAACCAAACTTTACATCATCCACAGAAACAAAAAGTAGTCTGACTTGCCACAAATAGGAAATAACAAAAGAAGTTGTGTATTTTATACTGAAATTTCTGCTAGCTAATGGATCCCCACCTTTATTCTGAGCCTACGTTATGCTTTTTCAGTTTATAAAAAAAAAAGTAGAACAGCGTTGTCCCTGTTGTGCTGTGTGACTTACTGGTCACCTTCATGTGCCACTTCAAGTGCGTCTGGTGCTCAGACTCTGAAGAAGCAGTGCTTAGCTGCTGAGCCCTGAGTTGAGGTGCTGTGAGCACTCCAAAGATGGAAAGTCAGGTCCGTGGCCATGAGACTCATCTTCCGTGTGGACCTCAGAGCAGGCAGGCTCCCTGGGGGACAGCTCCTCGGAGCGGCACGCGGGGTTTATGTTGGAGCTGTCCCGGGGGTGTTGCCTGCTCTCCTGAAAACCTTGTGCCTGCTGAGTGAGCTGCAGAGAATCACTAGAAAGCTTTGAAGGCTCCCTGAATTCAAATGTGTAAAGCTCGCTGTCAACAGAATTATTTGGTTTCATTTAGTTTTCTTTAAAGAGAATTTGTTAGAGGAAACCTACCAGCTCTTCACTGTTAGAAATTCTGAGTGCTGAACAGTTGTACTTTTGTGTGCTTTTCCCAGTTTGCTAGCACTGCTAAATATATGAAGAACACTCCTTACGTTAATGAGGTGTCAAGTGATGAAGCGCTCCTGAAAAGATACAGAAAGGAAATAGTGGACCTGAGAAAGCAGCTCGAGGAGGTGCGTGCGAGGCTTCATTTCAGTAGACATTAACTTAGCCTGGGGGGATGGGCCCAGGAGCTCTCAGCTCGGGAATATCTGAAGTGCTGGGACTTAATTTTTAAACAAATGTGTTGCAACTATGAAGAAATAATTTATAACAATTTAGGTTTGCTATGTGAACTGAAAGATTTGATATCTTCAAATTATTTTTGACTTTATTCTGTATTTCCAAAGGGTATGATTTGAAATGTTGCTCCAAGTGAACTAAGTAGAAATAGCTTTGTTTTTTAATCTGACAAATACATTTTGAGTTAATTTAGGAAAGAGAAATGTGTAGCAATTTAAAACTACCTTTTATTTCTTCACATCGCCTAAATCCTCTTCTGGGCCTAAGACAGTCATCTAACAATACAGCCAGTCTTGCCATTCTAATTAATTTATATTAATCCTCTCAGTCCCATAGTTTGTAAAAAAATCTTTCATTTTTGTGTCCTTTTAAAAAGCTAAAATATCAACCAGTAATCTCATAAGACAACAGCATCTCTGTTTTTCTCTGTGGTAATTCAACCCTGGGTCTCTTGACTTTCGGACCTGTTATTCAGAGTTCTTAGGCTACTAATAGAATTGTCTTATCAACATTATTGACTACATAATGGAAAGAATAGTGATGAGAAGAAATGTGTTTGATAAATTACTAATTTTGGCAATGACGTGGGGTTCTGCATGTCGGTATATGTTATTCCCGTAAAGGTTAAACGTTTATAAATTCTATGGAAATGTAATATTCTGCTTGCAAGCTCTTTTCAAAGTTCTAAAATCTAGCTTCATATATTGTTAATATCCTGCCATATTACATGTGCTAGGTAAATATAAAGACTCGGGCCCAGGAAATGGAAAAAGACCAGTTGGCCCAGCTTTTGGATGAAAAAGATTTGCTTCAAAAAGTACAGGATGAGAAAATTCACAACTTAACACGGATGCTGGTGACCTCATCTTCCCTCACATCACATCAGGAATTAAAGGTAAAATTAGAAGATGGAACCTTCTAGTGAACAGGGCAGGCTTAGGTCTGGTGTGAGCTGAACGCTTCTTACCCTTTAATAGGGGAGATTCAGGCAGCCTGGAAAGGGTTGTGTGCATTGCTAGTCGGCAGAGTGACTGACAAACAGGAGAGAGCAGGGCCTCAGAGGGTGAGGAGGGCGTGGGAGGGTCTCGAGGAAGAGCAGAAAGGAAGTGGTAGCTAGAGCCAGGTGAGCAGTCACAGTCCATCCTGCTCAAAGGCAGACGCAGCCAGACTCGAGTGTGAAGCTGGGAGGAGGGGGCGGCAGGGAAGACTGATGGCAGATTCCTGAGGGCACAGCCCCACAGAGGGCAGCAGGGTCAGGGCAGGGTGGGGTCCTTGATTCCCAAACTCAGGGCAGGAGACGGACATCGGGGGACCTGAGAAAGTGGCTCCTGCAAGGGCTCTCATTAGTGACCTGGGTACTGCTCCCCCTCTGCTCCTGCCCAGTGAGAGCAAGGTGCCCAGGTTTGCAGCAGGGTGAGCACCCCTGCCACAACCCCAGAGATCCCTAAGGGTTTTGAGTTGACAAGGGCCCTTCGGATGAGTCCTGCAAACTTGTGATTTAAGGGCTGAGGATACGGCTTGGTGGCAGCGTGCCTGCGCAGCCTGGGGAGGCCCTGGGTTTGATCCCATAAACAGAAAGAAGTGAGAACGGTTGCTTCATTGGATGTATTATGGTATCACACACTGGTCTGAAAAATGTGAGAGTACCTTGCTAATTGAAGGACATTCCGAGATATGAAAGAAATCAGTGGTTTTCCAACCTCGTAACTAGTTTCCTGTTGTATTTTGTCGGAACGCCAATGGAGGTAAAGCATTGTTTTTTTGGGTTTTTTTTTGTTTTGTTTTTGCTTTTGTGTTTTAGGCTAAAAGAAAACGAAGAGTCACTTGGTGCTTTGGCAAAATTAACAAAATGAAGGATTCAAACTACGAGAGAGAGTTCAGTATACCAGTGAATGTGACAACCAGGACATCCAGGAATGCTGTCACACTGTTAGGGGAGATTGATGAGAGTAAGTATCTGCAGGGCCTAATAAACGCTTCCCTGTAGAGACAGACTGGGTAACTCAGTATGATACACATGTTGAAGTAGATGGAAATTGTGATTTAATGATAGATAATTTTTAAACTTTCATAAATTGTTCTCTGAATGCCAAATCTCAAGAATGATGCACTATTGGAAATGGATGTGAAAGATATTTTTGTTTATTGTTCTGATTATTATTCATTTAAATTAGTGTAACACTGATGTAACATCTGTCTGAACCTGCCAGTCTTTAAAAGATAGGATTTATGTTAAAAATTATGTTTGAAATAATACAAAAATTATGTTTGAAAATTATACCTCAAGCATTATATTCTTATTTTAGGGGCGTTTTAAAAACCTACTTACAGTGATCATATTTCGTACTCAGAATTTGATTTTTTTACCTCTGTGCTGCGGAGCCCGTGTTTTATCACTGATCCCAGCCAGCTGTCTTAGTTCACACACTGCTGTACATGATCAGCTCTGTTGACGTGTGTCCTTGGCATTCCCATACTGAGGGCACACACACTAATGTGAGCTTATTATGCAGTACTCTGTCACTTTTTAAAATAATGTTTAATTTGACTTTTAGGAAATGTTATACATGTTAACATACACATTTGTTCCCTAATTGTAGCTTTCTTGGAGTCTGATACCTTCAGCAATACTCCTGATACACTAACAGAGATAGAGTGGAATTCAGCGACACAGCTACTAAATGAGGTATTTTACGGAACATGATCTTGTGTTGGTTTTGGGGGTGGCAGCTTGTCTGCAGCTCTGACTCAGTATCAGAGGCAGTTTGGGCTCTAGGAAGATTTCCCTTGTGTTTTTTGACTTGCAGTTGAAAAAGTAGGAGACATGTAGAGGGAGGCTAAAATGTTTATTAGGCAGGCGAGTGCTAACGGGAAAATGTTTGCTTCTAGTTCTTTACCAGCAAATCTTAGCATCTGTCTGGTTTGCTCTGGGCAATCCCGTGGAGTGAAAAAATTAATTGAAAAGCATCAGTATTCCCAGGCAGAAGCACAGGGGTGATCATCAGGGAAATAATGTTGCCAGGTGGTAGGAGAAATAGAGGTAAATGCATTGGTTGTCCCTCTGTCCCCTTGTGCCATGGGCTCTGTGACCCCCACGGACACCTAGGCTGTAGCCGCCTAGTCCCTGCTTAAAAGGCATGACGTGTTTGCACATCACCCTGCCCATCCTGTGCTGAACTTAACCATCTCTTGGACACTGGTGACCCCTGACAGTAGAAATGCTACACGGTAGTTACTACACTGCACTGTCCTGAGAATGGTGACAAGAAGAAAGGCTCCAACTAAGTACTGACACAGCTACTGTGGGCCGAGCACACTTCGCTCTGAGCTTAGTTGCATCCTCGCCTGAGGAGCCTGCATGTGCAGAGGGCTCACGGCAGAGCCCTCGGAGCCGGCCAGAGCGGACACCGTGGCCAGCACCGCTATAGGTTAGCTTTCGGGGTCGCTCTGCAGACTGCTCCAGTTCCAGACAAGTCACACTGTAGTGTACATGTGTCTGTCAAAGAAAACATCATTTTAACTGGGAATACAATTGTACTTCCTGGTAATTATTATCATTGGCTAATGTAAGAAAGTGCTTTTGTGTTCCTGACATATTCTAGGAGTTTGTCATCTTCATTTTTTGTAATTCCTAATTGAAGGTGTTTTTTCATCTCTTTCCCATAATGCTGTGGTAAAATTTAGCACATTGGAGATTGAGGCAGACAGTATGTTGGCTTCCTGAATGGAGTCATCTGAAGAATGAAAGAGCATTCAGATGCATGAGCCATTAATAAGCAGCTTTAATCCTGAGGCACTGTGGGGTTTGGGGTCAAATGGGTTCCCAGCATTTACCTTCTCACTTGGACTTTCCCTGAGCAGAAGCAGACTTATTATATTATCTTTATTCTTCTGTTTTCAAAATAAAATCTCTGTTCACTCTAAGTGAGCTAGTTTACCACAATGGAGTGTCAGAAAGATGCAAGTTGGAGAACCACCAGTGGTCGAGGGGTCCATGTATTATCCACCTGATCTAAAGAAGTGTAGACAATGTGGTTTGCATCCCTTCTGATTGGGAAATTTGTTTTTGTTTATAATAGGAAAACTTAGAAAGTGAGTTGAACTCACTTCGTGCTAAATATGATAATATGGTATTAGACTATGAACAAGTAAGAAGAGAAAATGAAGAAATGAGGTTAAAACTAAAAGAAAGAAGTGACTTGGATGAATTTGAGGCTCTAGAAAGAAAAACTGAAAAAGATCAAGAGGTAAGACAAGTAGAGACGTTAAACTATTTTGTGCATTAAAAAGAAATACCATCCTCTGAAAGATTTTTATTTCTAAGACTGAGGTAACAAGGATTCACCCCTTTTATATGTTTAGACAAGTAGAGAATTTAAGAAACTCAGTATTCAGCTGACATTGTGTTTAAATAGGGAGGCCGTGTTGGCTCCCATCAAGCTTGCTAGAAAAAGGAATGGAATACACGCAGGTGGGGGCTCGCGGGTCTCTGGCTGTGCCCTGAGGAAACAGCCACTCCCTGCTGAGACTAGAAAAGCTGACACAGATCTGGTTGACTGATGTGTGGATGCTGTGTGTGAGTGAATTTCTTTTTTTCTAGCAAGTGTACCTATTGCTAAGGGTTGAAATGTCAGAATCGCTAGAGAAACTGATAAATGACTGAAACCATTAGACTAGGCCCTGGAAATTGCCCTGAGATGTCAGGAACCACACTTCGTGTGGGAGATCTTAGCCTCCACAGTGCAGAATGAGAATCCCAGCCATTATGGGACTCACAAAGTTTTGTGCAACCCTCCCCAGAATAAGAGTGTGTGTTCGTGCATAGGAGCTCGATCTGCTGTGGAGGTGCTTCTCTGGGACAAGGCCCTGAGCAGCTTCAGGGCGTATGGCTGGGTTAGTCTTAGCATGCGGTGGCTTGGGTGAGAGCACCAGGGTTAAGCCCAGATTAGGGGATAACCGACATTTTTGAAAAAAATTTAAGAAAAAGCCTACTTCTGGTCTGGTTTCATGTCCCTGGTTTTCCTAAGGGACATGAAAAATCACAGATAATTTTCAAGTGGGAGTTTAGCAACACAGGATGATTAAATAGTAAATTTTAGAGTAATCCAAAAAAAGTTAAGGGACATGAAAAATCACAGATAATTTTCAAGTGGGAGTTTAGCAACACAGGATGATTAAATAGTAAATTTTAGAGTAATCCAAAAAAAGTACAAGATCAGTACACTTGAGCAGTAAGAGAAAGATCTTATCCATTGACCTATTTTATAACTATTTGTTTAATTTTATAATTTTCATAAGTTGGAAATGTTTGGATATTAGTTCTATAAAGTTTAATGTTTGGTTTCTTCTGCCGAAATTTGTAGTATGGTGTATGTCACAGTGGATTAACTGCTGATCTAATCACATTTAAATGTGTTCCTTCTCACACATTTTGCACCCTTACATGGCGTGTCACTTGCACCTTACAGTTCCACATACAGCAGAGTTAATCTTTTTCTGTTTGTGAGAATAAAAACATTTGATGATGTGAAGATTATTTGTTTTTTCTGGTAAATGTGATTTTTTTTCTTTTTCTACATGACAATCAAAAGTAGGCCGAAAAATCAACAAGTGGAAGCCAGTTTAGATTTCCCAATTAAAAATTTTAAACTACGTGTTCATATATTTCTATTTTCAGCACTGACCTAACACTGGAATATCAGAGCTATTAATAATTTGAAATCTAAAACTAGTCAAGCTAGTTAAGCATGCAGAAAATATTCCTTGACAAGATACCATTTTCTTCAATCCCTTACATTCCATTAGATTTTACTTTCATTCTTTAAGTTGTCATCTGAATGTGAACTTTTAACAGTCCTAAAGAAAATAGGTTTCTTGGTCAATTATAGTCATTTTGAACACAAAATTTTCTGATACTCAAAAATGTAATGCTATAGATGCTTTGAGAGAAGGGAAGACATGAATAGAAATAGTTATACCTTCATACTTTTAACAATATAGAGCAATAAGACTGTATTTCCAACATTGTCTAGAGAATAAATCAAGGTAATAATTGATAATTCCATACCTTTGTAGCTTGGTTGACCAGTGATATGAGAAATATGAAACATTAGTCCAAACCCGTTCCCACACCACGGCTCATTACAAAACTGACAGTGTACAATCAGATATGGCGGCACAGGCCTGTAATCCTAGCGGTCTGGGAAGCTGAGGCAGGAGGATATAAGGTTACAGCTGACCTAGGTCAGTTTAGTGAGAGTTGATCTCAATTAAAAAGAACTGGCAGCATGGCAGAAATGTAGCTCATTGTTTAATCCACAGTAGTAAAATCTTGTAGGATGAACCTATTTTTGTGCTTATGCAAAACAAAAACCTACAAAAAGTACATCTTGCAATTTTGATGAGCACTTTACTAGCTCCTCTAGTTGGTGATTACTAACTTGACCAATGCTGTCATCATTGCTAGTAAAGCAGGTTATATTATTATCAGGGTCGTGCTGAGGTTCTCTCCTTGTTGCTGGTTCTGTGGTCTGGCCTTTCTTCTAGTTGTGAATACTGAGGTGCTGTGTGGTGATACCTTGAGCATTAGGCCTCACCCCTCTACCTGTGTTGGGCGAATCTGAAGCTTTTGCTTTATTAACTGTCGGCTTCCTCTGGTGCCTGTTCACTTGCTGTTTCAGATGCAACTAATTCACGAAATCTCCAACCTGAGGAATTTAGTTAAGCACGCAGAAGTTTATAACCAGGATCTTGAGGTGAGCATTCCTGTTGCTGACTCCATTGATAATGAGAACTGTCAAACATGTATGACACTGAAGATGATGACAAAAACAAGAATTATGCTTTAAGTATTAATCCTTGAATGTTACTGTCACAGGATTAAAAACTGTGTTTTTTAATCCCGTGGAAATGCAGATGGAATAGAAAATTGTGTTTCATTGTTTGATTCTTTTAGAATGAACTAAGCTCCAAAGTAGCACTGCTGAGAGAGAAAGAAGCTGAGATTAAGAAGCTGCAGAACTACATAGACTCCCAGAAGTCAGAGAGCACAGCCTTGGACTCGCCCTTCCCACGGGTAAGATTGGCTGCCTTCCTGTGTGGCCCCTTCCTGTGTGGTGTTTCTGGTTTGTCCCACTCATGGGTGCTAACAGGGGGCCGGCTGTGCACGGGTCGCAGCTGTCACCAGTGCGTTCACATTTCACCTGTCTGCTCTGGGACAAAGGGGCCTTCAGATCATTGCTGCTTTACAGACCCTCACAGGAAGTCGAGTGTGTCACTGTATGATTAAATGTAAGGAAGTTAGGGACATGCTTCCATGGGAAAGAAGTGATTCATCAGCAGCCTAGCAAGAACTCAGCTCTCCATGAAAAGTAAAAAGGTGTTGAAGTTACACCCAGGTGTGTAGGCCCTGGGTTCATTCTTCAGTACCACAAAGTAGGTAAATAACTGAAAAAGCTTCTTATGTTTTCAGTTTTGTACAAATACTAATAGAAGTACATATTAAAGACCGTAAGGAAACCATTTGTGTTGAAATTAATAAGTAACGGTAAGGTATAGGTCATTGATAGTGTAGTATGACTTCATAAATTTCATTTAATTAACAGATATCAAGTATCCCATGATCATGTAAGTACTGTTTTATTTATTAACCTTTTATTTAGGAGAAGTTGGTTTCTTAGAGTGTTTGCAGACATCAGTATTGGTGGGTTTTGTTTCCTGTTATTTGGCCTTGCGTTGGTGGTGGTAGGGACTGAACCCAGGAACTTGCAGATGCCAGGTGAGCACTCTCATACTGACGACATTCGAGCCTAAACATTGCTTTTATGTTTACTTTTCATTCTTTGATCATTAGCATGTCCTCACCCCGGTGGCTCCGTAAGAATATGTGGTGCATCCATGTTTCTAAGTTGCTCAAATCTGCTAAAATTGGAACTGACCAAATCCTTTTATCATCTGTCTAGGACAATGATGATGACTTCAAAGAAATGAAACAATCTTTGTTTGATGCTGAGACTGTAGCCCTTGATGCCAAGAGAGAAGCAGCCTTTCTCCGAAGTGCAAATCTGGAACTGAAAAAACAAATGGTAAGCAACGTTTTAAAAGTTTGTAACAAAGCCATCAAAATAATTAGTACATTTTTGTGACTTTTGGTGTTTGTCTTCGTAGAAAGAACTTGCAAATACGTGCAAACAAATGGAAATTGATACTCAGGTATATCAAAGCCAGTTGGAGGCCAAAAAGAAAATACAAGTTGATCTGGAGAAAGAGTTACAATCTGCCTTTAGTGAAATAACCAAACTCACTTCCCTTGTAGATGGCAAACTTCCAAAAGGTATTTATAATTTCAGACAGCTCTTTGCAAATGTGACTTCCTCTAAAAACATCCCCAGATGATTTGGCCATAGTCCAAGCAGTAAAAATCCTCTAGACTGTTTTCTTTACTTTGTTTTTGGTCCCAGGGATCGAACTTATGACTTTGTGCTTGCCAGGCAGGCACTTATGCTGCTGAGCTAATTCCCTGGCTTCGACTCTGTTTTCATTGATAGCTTAATGTTTAACTCTAATATCGTTCGGTTCCAATGTGTATAAAGACTCCCATGAGGTTCAGATCATTGTGGCTTAATATGAATTTTCAAATACATTGGTCCTGATTTTGCAAAAGTTGGTTTGAGAGCTATTAAGAGTTAGTCCCCATTGTAAGCATTGTTCTCTAAGTTACTGAACTCTTCTTAGATTTGCCCTGCAATTTGGAATTGGAAAGGAGGATTACAGATCTGCAGAAAGAGCTGAGTAAAGAAATTAAAGAAAATGAAGCTTTACAGAAGGAGATTAACTTGCTGTCAGAGCTGAAATCCCTGCCCCCTGAGATAGAAACACTGAAGAAAGAGGTGAGCAGAATTTTAACCAATCAACCCTAGCTTTGAAATAATCTTTCAAATAGTGCCTTACGTGTTTTGATGCAATTGCTTTTTACGAAGCAGAAGAGAAATCCTGTATTAGTTTCACTCCGCCTATTAACAGTGGAAAGAGAAGGATTGGCTCTGGCCTGGCGTGTCATTCCTTCTGTACCAAAAGGAAGATAGAGGCCTTGAAAGAGTGTTGAGCAATGTACCTGGCAGCGTGGCCCCTGTCTTCCTCATGGGTGGGCTCCCCTTCGTGCTCACCTTTCTCTGCTAGCCATAGCACTGTGCAGAGTAAAAGTAAATAAGTAAGTAGAGGGCTGGAGGGTGGTGCGGTGGGGCTCCAGGCCCGAACAGGCTGTCCGGCGGGTGAATGGTTCTGGGAGCCCGCAGCCTGCTGCCTCTCCCTCCCTCCATCCCTTCCAAGAAGAAAAAAAAAAGGCTGAACCTGAGACTTCTTAGCAGGTGCCGTCATTGTACGGAAGAGCTTCAGAAACACCGTTTTAAAATAGTTTTAATGTTTAAAACTAGGTGCTATCACTTCTTAGCCTTTTAGCTAAGATGAAGCAGAAGGCAAAAGTGATGCCTTTTAGTCCTGAAACAGTTACCAGACAAACAGTTGAGCCCCAGATAGCTGCCTGTCAGGCCCCTGAGTGTAACCCCTTGCATATTATTCTTCTCTCAGCTCTCATCTCTGTTTTCCCCTCTCTCTTTGTTTTTCTTTTTCTTTCTGTTTTTGTTTTTTTTTTTTTTTGTACTGGGGATTGAACTCATGACCTCATGCTTGCCAGGCAGGAGCTTATGCTACTAAGCTAAATCATTGGTCCCTCACCTTCTTTTTCACAGTGATTTAAGTTTACATAAACTGGCTGTGGGTTAACTTTTTTTTTTTTTTAAATTTAAGGAGAAAAAGAAAAAAAAAACAGAAAAAGGGTACAAGTTATACAGAATTTCAGAAAAAATAAACAATAGGAAATCACTAGTTAATAGATTACATATTGTTATCTTAGAAATAGTTGTTCAAGTTACAAAATTAAAGCATATAAAGTGGACATTCAAACAGTGAGACTGCAAACAGTTTTGTTCAGTGATCCAACAAAACTCAGTAATATGGTTATCTATCTTATACACTTAAATATACATGCAGTTATATTCTTTAGAGCACTTTCCTTTCTTTTGTACAATGACAATTACACATTTTGGGTTTTATTACTCCCACAGTTCTTATTACTTTTTTTTGAAGAGAGTAAAACCAAATGTGACATAACAGAACAGAGTCAGTCAAATCAAAAGGATGGACATAATAGATAATGTAAAAACAAAATACTAGGGGATCAACAATGGTTACTATACTGCCTCTTGCTATCTTAAAAAGAATTGCCTATATCATCAGTTATAATTAAAATTGAACAAAACAGTAAAGAATAAAACCAAAACATTGGAGACATTACAGGACTTTAAAAGAAGATAATAGTCAACTGGAATGGGCGTCATAATGAATCTTACTGTCTTTACAGTTGTTGCCTATACTTTAGAACTTGGTACTATCAAGCAAAGCAGAATAGAGGAAAATCAGTCAAAGCAAGATAGTGAGGGCTACACAGGGTTTCAAATCAAGTTAATAGGAAATCACAGTGGGTTACTATAATGTATCCTGCTATTTTTTCTTATTTTTCCCTTAATTAAAAAGATAAAAAAGTAAATAATTTTTAAAAAGGAGACTGAGATAAAAGAGGGCATAACAACAAAACTGTGCAGGTCAAAGCATAACCATTTAAGCAAAATAGTGTTTCACCACAAGATATCGTGACATAAAAGTAGTTACCATAGTGTCTCTTTCCTTGAAATCTTTGGGTTTAACTTCGTATACTGTAGCACCAAACATATCAAGAAAATGTAAAACCATTCAAGAGAATGACAGTATTACAGTATTTAGAACCAACTATCAGAAAATGAACAATGGTTTCTGTATAATCTCCTTGTCTATAAAAGTTTTTGCTTGTATTATCACATATAATAAAATCCAATAACATACAACCTGTTAAGACCGATGGAGACAGAAGAATAAAAGCTTGATGAGACTTCAAAGCAAGATTATACTAAATCAGCACTAGCTATTATGATGTCTTGTGAACAGCTATTCTGGGTTAACTTTTTAAAGAATGCTTTTTAAATTTTAAACAGTTATGTATTATTCTTTCATTAACTTTTTGGAAACCTAAATTATAATCAAAGCCTCTAGAAAAAACAATAAGGAACTCTGAGAGGCCGAGATACTGCTGCAAGATGCATTTAGAAAACCTGTTAGAATGAGCGCGAGGAAATCAGCACCCCAATTGTTTCCACAGACTTCTCACACTGTTCTATCCTTACAGGAAGCCAAAGAGACTGGAAAACAACAGCAGAGGGGAAGTTGGACAAGCTTGAGAAACAGGACAGCAGATCATTGCCTTTCCTCAGCCACATGTTTCTGAATTTAAATGATTCTCCTCCCCGCCGAGGGAAACTTGTTCTCCTGAGAATTTTCCCCATTGCTAACACTCCCAAAACTTATGTCTGTTCCTTAGATGCGTGATCGCTCAGAGGAGCTGTCTGTGGTAACATCAGAGAGAGACAGGCTGTGCTCCGAAGTGACCCAGAAGGACAGCAGAATCCAAGCCTTACTTGAGGAAATTGGGAAGACTACAGAGGACCTGGCCACCATCCAGCTGAATTATCAAAACACTGTGCAAGAACTTCAAGATTTCAAAATCCTTTGTGTGGAGTTGGAGCAAAAATATAAAACGGTCCAAGAGGAGAATGAGAAAATGAATCAGCAAGTGGGAAGTCTCTCCAGAGAAACAGAAAACCTTCGTTTGAGTTTAGATACTGTGAGGACTGAGGTTGGTTGGTGTAAAATTGTCATCTGAGAAGCCTGCTTGGCCTGAGTTTGATTTCTGTGCCTGCCATGGCTCTCACTACGTCCCCTGCTCTGTCTTCTTTACAGCTTTCCGACAATGGCCCGCAGCATCAGCAGGAAACAGCCAAGGTTCAGGAGAGGCTGCATGAGGTGGAGCAACTGCAGGAAGAGTTAGAGCGGAGAGACGCTGGGCTCCAAGCTACCGAGCAGGAGAAGGCGCTGGTGAAGCAGCGGCTGCAGCAGACCCTAGAGGAGGTACAAAGCCTGGCCCGGGAGAAGGAGGCCCTGAGCCAGCTGTGTGACAGCCTGCAGGCAGAGCGGGACCAGCTCCAGGACACGGTGAGCATGGCAAGGGTGGCGCTGGGGTCTAAGCTCATCACAGGAACTGTCACTTGTCACTTGTGACCAAGGAGCAGTTGTGAAGTGAGTGCCCTTCCTCTCTAATGGAAATCGTTTCATGTTTCCCTGGGAAGAACACAGACACGCAGGAACAGTTGCGAAATGCCTTGGAGTCCCTGAAGCAACACCAGGAAACAATCACGGCACTGAAAGTGAGAATTTCTGAGGAGTCATCCAGGAATTTGCATGCAGAGGAAACCCAAGGAGAAACCGAGCATGAATTTCACCGAAAGGTAAAGGGTGCTGATTTTCTGAGTTTCCTTTTATTTCTATTTAAACTTACTCTTTAATCCCAAACTCTTACACGTGTCGTGTAGTTTTGTTTTTGGTAATTCACAGTGGTAATAACCAATGATTTTACAAGCCATCGTAATGTCCATTTAAAAAAAGCTTCTAATAAAATTGCTTACAATCAATTTGAAAAGGGAAACAAAGGTATTAGTTCAGACTTTGAAGAGTTAGCATTTTCTGAGACTAGAGGTATTGTGAATATCTTTGAAGGCCTTTCTGAATCCTAACAAGAAGATTGGCTGCTATTAATTATGGCTGAAATGTTCATCTTATATCCGATTTTGTCTCCTGAAGTCACTTAGAGGTCACAGTTCAGTCCAGTCCAGAGCACAGTGCTTGTGAATTTATACAAAAGTTTGATTTGCTGTCGCTTTCTGATTTCCCAAAACAGCTTGTAACTATGTATAACAAATGTTTAATAACTTTTTTACTTCTATTATACTTCATACCACTTTACCCACCATATTACTGTGTTTTTAGAATATTCTTCAATTGGAGATGAGAAAAATAATCTTTACACATCAAAGTTTGAAGAGTATACCGCATATGCATTACTTAACTTTGTGTTAAATGCCTATAATATAAAATGTATCCCCTTAGTAATTTATAAGTATATATTTGAATAGTGTTGCTTTCACATTTTATTGTACCATCAATTAGCAGAACTATTTTCATCTTGCAAAACTGAAACTCTACCCATTAGATAATCATTCTACATTGAGATTTGCAGTGTTATTGAGTATCATTACAGAAAAGTATTTCCACCTACATTATAAAAGTAAAGATGCAAGATTTTGAATTAAGAACTCTTACATACCAGTCCCAGAAGACTGATGAGTCGGTCACTTCGCTCTGTGCCCAGGCATATTCCAGTCAGTAGAGTGGAGCCAAGCAAAACCTGGTTGTATCTATATCCTCTACAGAGAAACAAGCAGCTACTGAAGATCACCTTTTGAAGGCTACTTAAGAGCATGAGAAAACATGTACGATCTCAGTGGAAAAGGCAGGCTGAAACATGCCTTGTAAATTGCCTGTAGTAGTCGATGTTTATAAAAACCTTTTCCTGGAAAAACTCTGAAAGAAAATACATTTTTTGTTTGTTTGTTTGTTTTTCATCTGTACCAGGGATCAGACTCACAAGCGTGCGCTTACAAGGCAGGTGCTTATGCCACTGAGCTAAATCCCCAGCCCCAGAAAATACATTCTTATAGTGACTGTGAGGTTAATGACCTTTGGGGCTGATTATTTCCTTTGTTTTTGTTCTGTATTTTCTAATGTGATTGTAGAACATTTTAAATACTTGAAAAAGCTTGTGTGCTCAGTGCGGGCTGAACAGTGTCGGTCTGTGCCTTCCTTTGCCAGAAGTTCATATATCAGGTTACCTTTGGTTATGGGGTACTGATGGGTTAATTAATTCTTACGATGTGCTTTTTTCAAGAAGTGTAGAAAAATATGTATTAACAAAAGTAAATTATACTATTACAAGATGAGATACATGTCTATGGCAATCATTTTGTCCACTTGTAAACCTCCAGCTTCTTAGGAGTGGAGTCGCTCTGAAAAATGAAGTTTTGCTGTAGAGCGGTTAGGGACAACGCCGAAGGGGACATAAAGGCAGAGAGTGCAAAGCCTATTGCTGCGTCCTCAGAAGTGAAAACAAGTGTGTGTCTCAGGAAGTAATTATAGAACATGGGTGGAAAGGAAGGGCATCTATCTTCAGCTGGATGACTGGTTTGAAGAAAGTTGGTGTCCATGAAGTCAGGTTAAATGTCCATGAAGATACCCATAATATTCAGGGCTGCCCAGGGTTCTTGTCGTCCACGAGAGGGTGCAGGGCTGTGCACTGGTATGTGACTTTGAGCATGCACCTCGCCCCCTGGAGCGACGCTTCTCCATGGGGCAAACGGGGACGATGGCAGCCGCTCCCTGGTAACGGTAGGCAGGCGAAATGTGTTGAGCTGCAGTAGTACCTGATGCATTCCGGCCCCTGAGCATGGCTGTCTTGTGAATAGTGTATTGAGATGGTTGTTATGAAGTACTTAAGAAATTCTTCTTTAATTTCTACTTTAGCTGATTAGTGTAGATGAAAAACAGAATTTGGAAACCGAAACAACTGGAACATTGACTGCAGGTGTGATGGACAGTGAGGAATCTGAGCAACAAAGGAAGATCCGCTCTCTGCTACAGGAGAAAAATGAACTGCAGCAAAGGCTGGAAAGCGTTACAGCGGAGAAGGACCAGCTGAAGACTGATCTCCAGGCAAACATTGAAATGGTAAGGGTGAGCACTGCACACACTCGGCGGTACATGTTTGTGTTTGTTTTAGATTTTTATCAACTTTATGAGGTCTAATCTATCAACGATAAATGGCCAGTTTGATGACGTTTGTCAAACCTGTGGGCTTCACCCCTGGGCTCCCCTTGCTGGAAATAGGAGGTCACAGGGAGGTGTGTGTTGCATTTGATGAGAATTTGCGACACTGATTTCCAAGTTGGTTTTGCCATTTCCCATCCCCATCAGCAAATTAAGAGAATTCCGGGGCTTCCCACCTCCCTGACCAACACGTCAAGTTTATTGTTGTGATTAGTTTCAGCCACTCTGATGCACAGGGTCTTTATCATTGTCATTCACTTTTCCTTTGTGGTGAATAAGGCCACTGAGGTTTTTTTCCTATGCTTCTTGGTTATTGTATGTCTTCTGTGATTTATTGTCTCCATGATGCATTATGGATTTTTAATATATAGATAATTTTGCACATTTTGTTCCATTTGTGCCAAAGTGTTATTCTTACTCTGTTTTAATTTTATTTTCAAATGTTGTTGTTGGTAATATTTCTACCCTAGTTGTGATTTTCATCTGTATGTAGAGGCAATATAGTACTGGTATAGGTTAAAAGTAACCTTTTTGAAATTCACTGTGGATCACGACATTTCCCGGAAATGAGCGCTCAAGCATGAATTCCATTCCATGTCTGGCCAGTTATGTTCCTGTGCCTTTGACACCTGAGAACGTCTCTGTGAGCTTAATGACTGATGAGTTCACATCGTGCTGGCAGGGTGCCTGCAGCACTGGACTTGCTGGTGATCAGTTCTTAAAACCAGCACCACCCAGCACATAGGAAACCTGCAGTTTTGGTGTCCTGGTCCATCTGTGATTGCTCAGCAGCTGCCTGTTGGTCTGAGTGTTGAAATAGGCTGAGCAGTGGAGATAGTGATCAATCCATTGCCAAGTCTGCTCTAGAAATGAAAGGCAGTAAAAAACAGATGAAGAGTAAATTCTTACTCTCTGTATGACTAAAGACTCCCTGTATGTAGATTAGTCATTTTCTAGATAGTTTGCACTAATTTCTTCATCCCCAGGCTCAGGTCAATGCTGATTTTAACCTGATTTGATAAATGTAAGCTAATGTTACATATTTTCATCTCAATTTTTAAAAACATTCCAGACCATTGAAAATCAGGAAGAATTAAGAATTCTTGGAGACAAGCTTAAAAGGCAACAAGAAATAGTCACCCAGGAAAAAAAGCATGCCATTAAGAAAGACGAAGTGCTTGCTCAGACCTGTGAGAGACTGGCAGAAGTTGAAGGAGAGCTACAGGAAAAGGTAAATGCTTCAACTTACCTTCTCGGGTATTTTCCTGAGTAAATGTTTTCCGATCCCCACACTCCTAAATATAGGGAGAGCACAGAGCCTTAAAGTGGACAATCTTCTCACGACATTTTAGACAGCTTTGCTTGTGCCGAGTGAGATCTTACCTAATGTCCTTCTGAGAATGTATTATTATTCTAGAGTCTGTAGGTGAAAAAGGTCAGGGGCTGGGGATTTAGCTCAGCGGCATAAGCGCCTGCCTTGCAAGCAGGCAATCGTGAGTTCGATCCCTGGTACCGATAAAAACGAAAAAGACAAAAAAAAAAAAAAAAAAAGGTCGTATGGCTTCCAAACTAATAGAGTGGTATCATAATCCATGAGGCACTGTCTTAGGCACTTGAGATCCATTAGTCAACAAAGATCCTCCCCACGTGAAGATGCACTAAGACTTACCCCTGAGTACGGCCCCTTCATGTCTGTAGTGTCCTGAATAGAAAGGTGGTGCTGTGGTAAGAGATGTGTGAGACCCAACCTTTCTGCAGCAAACTGTATGGTCTGAGGGTACAGAGATCTTTCCATTTAGGCTGAGAGCTAAGATCCTAGAAGCACACAGTGAAAGCAGCCCCCGTGAAGGCTCGGGGAAGGACGCACCTGCACTTCTGGGCTTCTGGTGTCTCCCAGCTACCCCGGCATTTCCTGGCTTGTAACCATGCCAAGCTCTGCTTCTGTCTTCATCTGACCTTCTTGCCTGGGCCTCTGTGTCCTCTGTCTCCTATAAACTCGCTATCTTCACTTTGAGAACCTGCCCTGATCCATTAGTGTGTCTGGTTGGTTCTTCCTCATGTGAAACTCAGGAAGGGCATGATTTAACGTTTTATAAACAGATGCACATAAAAGATCGGTGTACTTTTTATAATGTGTCTTGATAATCTGCATTGAGAGTAGTACATGGGACTATGTTGATGATTTTTCAGAGAAATTTAGGAAAATATTGACAAAATGTAATGATAAAGTTTTGTGTCTTCAGAATGAGCAGCTCCAAGAAAAACAGCAGCAGCTTCTTACCGCACAAGAGGAGATGAGTAAGATGCAGAAAAAGGTGAATGAAATGGAGAATCTAAAGAATGAGCTGAAAAACCAGGAATCCAGGCTAGAACGTGTGGAAATGGAGAGGCTTGAGCTGGCTCAGAAACTGCATGAAAGCTATGAGGAAACGAAATCCATCACCAAAGAAAGAAACGCCCTAAAGGAATCACGGGAGTCAGCGGAAGCAGAAAGAGACCAGCTTAAAGAATACATCAGGAAACTTGAAGCTGGAGTGAGTGATTCCGTTCTTCATCAGTTAAATGTTTGTTTAAAAGCTGTGTCTGCTGGGAGGGAGGGTGGGGTGGGACAGTGTTCTCACACTGTCTCCACATCTCACCTGCTGGCGAAGCGCCCACATACAGAAGAGGAGTCCGCCATGGCCCCCATGCAGCTAAGTGAACACCAGGAAAACATTGCTGAGCTCCGAAGCCGTGTTGCTGAGACTGAAGCTGAGGAAGTTACTTCTCAGGAGGACTTAGAGGAATCCAGGACCAGTGCGGAAGAAAAGGTGGGTCTCCTCTTCCCCCTGTTGTCCCTTCTGCCTGGCTGTCTCCTGAGGAGGACGTCTGTGCACCGTGTGGTAACTAAGTGTGTGTGTCCAAGTACTGGGTGAGTGTTCAAGCTCAGGACCTTCTCGTAACTCCCTGACGGTCATGCTGGTTCTCAGAATCAGCTGCACAGTCGCATCTGCCCGTGAGGGCCTGGAGCCAGGCCCTGTGCTCCCTGGGCCTCTCGTGCACTGTGCTCTCATCCACTGTCACAGGGCTGCGGGCATGGGGCTCTCGTCTAGTGCCTGCTGTCTCTGAAGGTGCCCTGTGTTCATGTGACAACACGGCCCTCCCACACCTCCCCGTGCCTCTGTCCTCACACAAGCCCTCCTCCCTCGCTCACAATGGGAGCGTTACACACGGGAGGTCTGGGGTGGCCTCTGTGTGGTAGGAGTTGGGTAAAGTCCTCTGCTCCCCAGGGTGGGAGTCTCTAAACAGCAGAGACAGGTGAGTCCTGGTCAGTTCTAGCCTCCAGTAGCCTGGTGAGCACGAGCCAGGCTCCACTGGATGGGGCTCACCTAAGCTGCTCCTTCGCACCTGACTGCTGCTAAAGGCACCCGTCTCTGTCCCCTAGAGTAACACATCCCTGGCTGCCAGCAGTGTGTTTCGTGATTCCCTGAAAATCCAAGAGGCTCAGGACAAACAAGAGCAGCCCTTCACGGGGGGAGAAAAAGTGGAGAGCCCTGAAGGGAGAGAGGTGGAGGAAAGGAAGGAGCGGTCTGAGGCCAGAGACTCTGCCCTGCCGAGGGGGGAAATGGAGAGGCTCCAGCTGTGTGAGAGCCTTGAGGAGAGTCGCCGCCGACTGTCATCCTTAGCGAAGGAGAGAGACGACCTCCAGAGGCTGCAGGGAACGCTGCAGGCAGAGCGTGACCAGCTCACAGAGCGTGTCAGAGAGCTCAGCGCCAAAGTAGGTTCCAGTTTCTCCCTTTTTCAAGATATTTTTGAGCAATGTTTTCATGAGATTAAATTTTTGCCAAAAGTTGGTTACAATGTGCTTATTATGTTTCTGTAAATGTATTGGAATTTCTGTAATAACAAAGCACCAGGACACAGAAGAGGAGCTTACAGTTGCTCATTGCTGCCTGAAAGAGCAAAAAGAAACCATTGATAAGCTGAGGGTGAATCTGTCTGAGAAGGAAGCCGAGCTGGTGGGCGTTGAAAAGGAACTAGAAGCAGCCCGCCAGGAGCTTCAGAAAAAGGTAAGCTGAGAGTGGGGCGCAGTAGGACGAGACTTGGAAGGCGCTAGTGGAAACCATGGTTTCTGTACAAAATTACTTTAGAAAACAAATTTTTTTACTCTTCCTTCAAATAAATGTGTGTATGTATATTTTTGACTAGTACCGTCTTTTACTGTTATTTTTAAGATCCAAAAACTTTATGAGAAAGAACAGCTTATTAATGTAAAAGAAAGTAGTGACACGCAGGAAAAAATGGATGAGCTGGAACAGTTCAGGGAGCTACACAGAGGCAAAGATGGCACTCTGCAGGGTGTAGAGGGTAACAGGCTGGAGCTGAATGGGAACCCGAGGAAAGTCAGGAAGAAATAAAAGTTCTAATTAGGCAGAAGGCTCAGGGGGTCCTGGAGCGGGACAGGGACCCACTGAAGGAAGCCCTCAGGGAAACTGTGGCTAAAGTACGTCACCCTCTCCTGTGTGTTCTGGAAAAAGAATAGGGCCAACTGTGCTCATGATGACCACAGTGAAGTTTTTTTAACTTTAATCGACAAGGAAACAAAGGGGACACGGACCTTCATGCTTCTGTGCCCTGAGAAACTTAGCACCAGGAGGGGTTCGGAGGAGACAGGTGGAGCAGCAGGTATTCAGAGGCTGAGGGAATTTGGGTGCTGAGTTCAGCAGACAGTGGGCCCTGCTTTTGTTAAGTAAGTTGTGGTTTTCCTCATGTTCCTGAGGAAAGAAAGCAGTATGTGTGTCTTAGGCTACAGTGTGACCAGTTGTCCCTTAACTTAGGTGTTTCCCTCAAACCTCACCTCACCTGCTTCCTCAGCTCCAGGAACTTGAGGAGGAACGGCAGTGTCGCAGGGCACAAGCTGCCCAGGAGGCCCAGGAGGCTAGGTGGGACGCAGAGCGCTTCAAAGAGCAGCTGGAGGCCCAGAGGTCGGCCCTGGAAAACATGGACTCGGAGAATAGGAAGTTGACGCAGAGGCTCCATGAAAACCTTGAGGAAATGAGAGCTGTCACACAAGAGCGAGATGACCTCAGGAGTGTGGAGGAGACTCTGAAAGCAGACAGAGAGCGGCTCAGGGAAAGCCTGGAAGACGCTGTGGCCAGAGTGAGTTGCCATCTTACCCTGTGCAGTGATCGCAGCCTCCTGTGCTGTGCTGTGCTGGTGGGGTGCTGGGAGCGTACAAGGGCCCTGAAGTCCGGCTAGAGCGATCTGACACATTTCCAGAATGGTGCAGAGATAGCTATAGGAAATTCATTAGAGCAAGGAGTAATCATAAAATAAAGCCAAGAGAAAAGGAAGAAAGATCAAAAGTGCCCCTTGGGTGGGCAGGCACTGGGTAATGAGGAGAGCACACTGGGGTCGTGGGTCCCGCGCAGCGGGTCTAGAGTGATTTGCCCTGCAGTGGCGCAGCGGGAGCGTCCCGCATGGAGGGGTCGGCTGCAGTGTGAAGCAGCTGTGGCCCGCGGCAGGAGCTCAGGGAGGGAGCCTGGGAGCTCCAGGAGCGGAAGGCCGTGGGGATTCCCCTGAGCCTCTCTGTGCTGCTGCAGTTGTATTATCCTCAATGCAGCAGTGTCCCTCTTTCTCTAATGAAGGACCTGGAAAAACAGGAGGAAGCAAGAATTGCTCACCTGCAGCTGAAAGCGCATCAGGAAACCATCGATGAACTCAGAGGGGTTGTTTCTAAGAAGACAGCCGAGATGCTGAACACGCACGTGGACTTGGAAAGCGCACAGGCGGCCTTGAAAGCGCAGGTACTTTGGCGCTGTCCTCTGAGGAGCTGGGAATCTGGAGCCGATGCTCTGTGCAGTAATGAGCCTAGAAGGCAGTGAGGATTTGCCTGTGCAGTTTTGTTTTTTTTTTTTTTTTTTTTTTTTTTTTAAGACTAGTCAAGTGCAGTAGTGAGAAGGGGGAAAAGAGTAGAACAAGGAGTTCAATCTGTACTGACTGTGAACAATCAATTGAGATAACTCACTACCTTCGGACCAGCCTGCCTGTGCAGTTTTGAAATTATGCTTTGTCTTATCTGAAGGCCCAAGAACTTGAGAAGAAGGACCATCAGCTTCTTCAGGTGGAAAATAATCTCAAAGAAACTACGTTTCAAACGGAAGTGTTGAAGAAGCAAATGGAGACCCAGAATGCAGCTCTGGAGAGCTCGGAGAAGGAGCGATTCAGACTGACCGAGCAGCTGGATGAAAACCGCGAGGAAGTGCAGTTTCTGAAGGAGGAAAATGAGAGCCTGAGAAGTGCGGAGGAGGCCCTGAGAGAGGACAAAGAGCGGCTGCAGGGGAGGCTGAGCAGGGCAGAAGCCCAGGTGAGTGGCGCCCTTCCTCTCCCTGCAGGCCAGTGTGTCGCCGGGGCAGCAGCCCCTCCTAGAAGGAGAGGTGGCACCTTAATGCCCCTGGAGCCTGAGAACCAGTTCTGTAAGCGGCATTTTCTTTATGGCTGCTGTGGTGCGTGTACCCTGACTCGGGCTGTAGAGTGAAACTGTGGAGACGATCACACACAACCTGCCACACAAGCTCTTTACTGTAATAAAAAAGAGAGTGGTGTGAGTGCTCTTCAGAAGGAGACCTGGGCGATAGGAGGGAGGCGTCAGTCCCCTGTGAACCTCAGAGAAAGACACAGGTTCGGGCGCTGCGTGGGAAGCCAGGCCGACCGAGGGCCAAGGTTGCTATGCTGTGTGTGCAGTGCCTTTGCTTCTACGGTGGGGGGAGAGTGGGGTCAGGGGTGAGGGCTCGCTGTCACTGTTGAGAGCAAACTGCAGGAGTGCAGGTGGTCTTGTCTCCCCAAGGACTTGAGTCCCTCCCTTCAGCACTGAACTGTGCAAGTCTCCTTCAAAGGTGCTGCAGATGCAAAAGGAGCTCAAGATGGCACAGGTGCATCAGAGAGAACACCAGGAGACTATCGCTGGCCTCCAGCGGCTTGTTTCGGAGAGGACAGAGGAAGTGGCGACTATGAAGGCGGATTTGGAAACTTCCGGTGCTCAATTTCAAGAAAAGGTATGGGCGGGAGCTCTTGGACTACATGTCTGGTTTGTTCTTTCCTAAACCCCTTAGGGATCTAAAGTCAGTGGGAAGCAGCAGGACAGGGATTCCCAGGACTGACTGTGTCCCTGTGAGGCCTGGTGTCCCTGCTCAGGGTGTACACCCCAGAGGAAGAGCACAGAGACCCCAGGAGTGCTCATGGTGGCCTTAGCAAAATGGGGTAGGAGGGAAAACAGCCCAGGCATTTGCTGCCAGAGCACGGGCAGGGGCATGGCTGTGCTGGTCAGCAGCCAGGAGAGCTGACCAGGTACTACAAGGTCACCACAGTGCTGGCCCCTAGGAAGGGTGCATGGGAGCATTACAGGTGCTGCAGGGTCCTCCACTCTGGTCCAGGTGATAGTTTATAGGTGTATGCACAGGTCAGGAATAGCTGAGCTCCACGCCTAAGATCAGTGTACTTTCCATTTTCGCTGTGTGTGGATTTATGCAGGGTATCAATGAGAGTAATGTGACATGATGGCTTGGTGCCTCTGGGGATTGAACCCAGAACCTCTGCCATGAGCTACATCCACAGCTCTTTATATTTTCTAAGTCTTGATCTTGCTGAGTTCCTAGGCAGGGCTTGAAGTGACCACCCCGCTGCTTCAGCCTCCCAGAGTGCACCACTGCACCCTGCACAGAAGACTCCAGTTTAAATCTAGAAAGTATTTTTTAACCATCCCTTAAAAAACCAAAGCTGTGTCAGTGAGTGTGGTGGGGTACACCTGTCATCCCAGTGTGGGGGCTGAGGCAGGAGGATCAGGTTGGAGACCAGCTTGAACTGTGTGGGGAGACACTGTCTCAGAAAACAAGGCTGTATCCTAACAGATTATTTTATGGTTTCCTGAAGATTAGAAAACTGCAGAATGAGAATGAACGTCTACTCTCTAAATTAAAAGAAGTCAGTGAGACACAAAAAGAGCTCAAGGACCAGAGTGTAATGGTGAGTAAAATGGAAATGGAAAATTTAAATTTGAGTCAGAAAGTTCATAAGTGGCTGAAAGAAATAAAATCCATGGCAAAAAAAAGAGATTTCCTAAAGAGCAGGAGGAGGCCCCACTGCTGCCAGAGACCGCTCAGGGAGCCGCAGCCAGAGTGAGCTGTGCGCCATCCTGCTGCCTGGTCAGCGTTCATCCGTGCTGCACTTCCTGCCCTGAGGACACGTGGCCATACAACCACAACCTCGGGAAGCCATTCATCAGGGTCCTTTAAAAAGTTCCCGCAGTGCACGTGGGGTGCACGAGCTCTTCTTCCAGGCCTGTGTCCTCCTGACACAAGCACACATCTGGGAGTGTGCAGCAGTGTCGCCTGCGAGGGGTGAGGTGACTGATGTCGAGAGGCTGCCCCCATGTCCACCACAGGGGCCCTGGCTCTGTATCCCCCACATTTCTCTAGTAAAGGATCTGGAAACACAACAGGAACTCAAAATTGCTCATAAGCATTTGAGAGAACAGCAAGAAGCTATTGGGAAATTCAGAGAGAGACTTTCAGAAATCACAATTTACATTTCAAATACAAAGAAGTTTAAAAACTTTGAGATTTCAGAGTATTTCAAAATTTCAGGTTTTTGAATTAGGGATTGTCAACCAGTAAAATCTTCAAATATTCCAAAACCAAAAAACTAAACGGAAAGCACTCATTTCAGATAAGGGAAACTCAGCCTGTGTACATGTACGAATGGAACACAGACGCTTTCCCTTCCTTTGCATTCTGATTGTTTGGTAATTATCTTATATCCAAGAACTTCAGCAAAAGTGATGCAGCTTCTTAAGGTAAAAGAAGATGTCAGTAAAAGTCTAAAAAATTGAATGAACTGGAACACTTCGGGCAGCAGTTTGAGGCCCACACTGTGTCTGTGCCAAGTATGGATGGGGATAACTTGGCCTTTGACTATGCAACTTTATGAAAGCCTAGAAGTCAGGAAGGGAGCAGCCAGCTCTGGAGGCTGAAAGAGTCTCCCAAAAGGGTCGCAGGCCAGTTTAGGGCAACCGGGAGGAAGTGGTAGCTAGCACGAGCTCAGGGCCTTTCCCCTGCTGTGAACTGTCTGTAAGAATCCAGCTTTTTGGAAAAAAGAACCAATATGGGGTATTCTGTTGTTTTCTGGAAATTTCTATGACCAGTAAAGGTTAATGGGAAAGTTTATACTGAATTTTACAAAATAGGAAACATATTTTTTAAAGAGATGCAAAAAACCTTCCCAGAAAATGTCAATTTTTTATCTTTAAGAAAAATTATAATAAAAACAGCCTGTTTTCCTTTATATAATTTCTTTAATATAATTTCTAAAGTGTTTCAAAACAAGAATTAGTATTTCTATAAAGGAGATATTAAAAGATTAGATTCATCATCAAGGATTAAAGCCCTGATTTGTATACCTCTACTGATAGAGTTGTAGAAATGGGCTCTTACTGCCAAAGCAGTTGGAATGGAAAAGGCAAGAAGAATAGAGAAGTTTTTCTAGGCTGACGTTATGGGGAGTCAGAATAATACAGCATAAAAGGCCTAATCAAATCCTCTAAGAAGCAGCAATTAAAACAAATAGTTGTATGCAGTCTTTAAAAAAAAAACTATTTCCGTAATTTAATAAAACAAGTGAAAAAGAGTATCATTTACAGTCTCATCAAAACACGATTGACAGTCATCCTTATGTGGGCCCTAACTAAACTGATGCAGAGATTTAATTCCAGAAGTAGTTACTGAAGGTTTAGGCATCCTTCATGTAGCCGAGAGGATCGGTGACACCGGGAGGAGAAAGTGGGTTTTTCCTTCTGTACTTGTTAAAGAGAAATGCAGGCTATGAAGAAGATGTTTCCATTGCAAGGTGCTGGGAAGGCCGTGTCACTAGGCTCGGGTCATGAGCAGTGCAGGTGGTTTTGCTAGTGTTTTTAGCTGGTGGGAATAATTGTAATGCAGAGACTGGGAAGAGCAGGAAGCAGAAATCTATCTGAAACCAAATTTGCAGCCATAGAGACCAAGTTCCGTGTCCCCCTTTTTCCCCGCCGTGAGTAGGGGTCACCATGCTGAGGTCACCTCCTGAGGGTGCAGCATTGGCGGCACTGCTGCATGTGACGCACGTGCACCCCAGGCGTTCTCCGTGAGGGGGCTGAGCCTGTCTGTTTCTTTGCACAGGACTGCCGGCCCTGCCGCCCACGGGAGGCCATGAGCGCTGGAAGGAGGTCACCGCGTGGAGCAGTGCAGCATCTCCCAGGCAACCTGAGGGAAAAGGGCCTCCGGATAGGAGTAAGTGTCCCTATCCCCTGTGGGCCTGCTGCACCCGGCAGGGGCTTCCTGGGCCTGGCATGGACCCTCTGCAGGGGCAGCGGCCACACGCTGTTTCCCCCTGCATCGCATGTGGAAGGGACATGTGTGCACATGCGTGTGCCAATGTGCAGGCACAGAAGGGGAGCACAGGGCTGAGAAGCCTCCAGCACAGGGACAGCAGCGTACATCCCTGAAGGCCCAGGGGATGGTGCAACACAGCTGCCCCAGGCAGAGCTGTGTAGATGGGGAGCCCCGTGCACAGCTGGCTCCAGGCTGCCCCTTCCATGTCTGGAGCCTGAGGAGCAGAGGCCAGTGAGAGCCAGGCCCACGGTCTCAAGGAATGGGGCCCGGCAGGACTTGGCATTTCCTCTGGGCAAGAGGAGAGCTCGGGATCATGTTGCTTAGCATTGGAGCTAAATGTGGGCCTGTGAGGTGACTGCGGCTCTTGACCTGGACAGGTCCACCCCTGTCCTCGGGAGCACTGCCTGGGTCCACACCAGGTGCCGCCAGGTGCCGCCCCGGCTCTCCGGAGAGAGGCTGTGGTGCTGCACTTGTGAAAGAAACCAAGGCAAGAGAGGAAGACTGGTGTGGCCAGCAGTGGCAAGGCTGGCACAGTGACTGAACAAGAATTTGATTCTGCCAGGTCTAATGTAGAAGTTGTACGTTCTTTCCAGTATAACTTTATTTCCTTCAGTTACAGTGTCTGTGTCGGTGCTGCAGATTATACATGCATACACAAGTGGTTCGTCTCTTTCAGCTGATCCCCTAGAAAGTCATGGCAGATGGTCATATGGTAGCTGAGCAAAAGGCTCGGTGACTTCCCGAGTCAGAAGGGTCCAGAGCCCCAGCTTTGGGAAAGGTTAGAAAGCAGAGGCTCATCAGATCCTGAGCCTGTAGGTGTCTTTCTTAAGGCGGCCGAGAGGCAGGAAACTTTGCGTCCTTACCGCCTCTGCTATGTCACACTGCCTTTCACAACCTGTAGCCCACACGGAGCCGTGAGCTCCAGAAGATGCTAGATCGAGTTCTCTCAGGTTTCCCTCCAGACTTGGCTGATCCTCATTCAGATCCCGAAGGCTCAATGTGACAGTGTGATGACGGGGTTGTGGGGCTAGGACTGTGACTCGGTGGTAACAGCACCCACCCTGGCATGCACTTGGCCCTGGGTTTCCTCCCCAGTACCTTTAAAATAATGGTGACAGTATTGTCTCCCTTTCTTCACTGTAAATTGCCTGTATTATCTTAGCTCCCCCAATGTATTATTTCTGTAGCTCCAAATTAATAAGTTTCTTTTTGTTAACATAAAGGTCTTTGTGTTTCCTATGGAAAGTGGTACAATGCGAGTTGTGCTGCAGTTTTAGCGATAGAGCTACTTATTGTTCCATTGGATGAATTATAACTTCCCTCTAGGAGCTTCTGAAGAGATACTCAGAGATGGCTACTGAGTACGAGTGCTTGGACGGATTGTGTCTGGACCTGGAGAAGGAACTTGAAATCAAGAAAGAGCTTTCAACTCAAGTAAACTCGAACCTCTGCCGTTTGTTGCCAGAAACCAAACAGTTTCAGAAATTACTGGCTACCAACCTGAACCGTTCCATGGAATTCCACAGGGTCCTGTGTGGACTGAAGGTAGCACTGGTTTTTAGTATTGTGCATGTAAACCCAGCTGGGAACTCCAGGCACAGCTCTGGGTGTGCTGAAGTATCCCTCAAGGACTTGTCATTTGCTGTGTAGAATCCTTAGCACATGTCAGGGGCACACAGAGCCTGAAAGGCTACATGCAGGATTCTTGGTACAGCTAGTAGCCACTCATATGACCAAGCCCAGCTTTGCCCAGAGGCCAGACCCCGGATCAGAGGGCTCATGAGGCCAAGCTGAGCCCTCTCCCAGACATCTCGGACTCTGGCAGGTGATGCCTGGAACACAGGCACAGATACCAGATAGACGGATACTAGTGCATGCAAGCGGTGTGATGTGGCATGCGTTGGGAGTCATAGGAAAGAAGGCTGCGGTGGAGGCTGACCTCAGGCAGCAGAGTTGGGGCTGATTTTGTAGGTGATTGGGAGTGAGGGATAGGTGTGCAGTGGTGGCAGCAGGCAGAGATTGGTGTGCCGGTGGTCACAGAACCGGAGGAGACAGGCAGTGCAGTGTGCTGCTGGAGAGGTTCACAGGCTGAGAGCAGGAGACAGTGAGGAAGCGGCGGCTTCAGGAGCCAGGCTGTGCTGTGATCCTGGAGGGAAGGCAGGCGAGTTTGGATTGAGTCCTGGGATGTGTGGTGGCCAGGTTTGCAGAGGGCGGGTCCCATCAGCCAAGGTGAAGAAGAAAGGAAGAGAAGCAGGGGTGAGACAGAGCTCACGGACTGCGCGTTTGAGACTGTAATCTCCAGGACAAGACAGCTGATCAGAGCAGCCAGGCCAGCCTCCAGCTGTGAGCCTGGGGCTCAGCAGGAGAAAAGTCCTGGCTGAGGTCTAGGACTCTGCAGAGGAGTGGTGGATGCCACAGTGTGTGTGGAGAGTCAGGTCACACAGAAGGCAGTGGGTGGAGAGTGGATGACATTGCTTTAGAGAAGCCCCAGGCCTGGGCTGCAGGTGGGGCAGCTGGGAGGCACAAGGGGAGCAGGCAGAGTGCGCTCCCTGCAGTCTCAGGCAGAACAGTGTCAGCGTGGAGCGTGATGGCCTCCCATGTGACCGTGTGCTTCAGGGTGGCTGTGAAGTTCTTGCCCTCTGATTGCTTCCCACAGACGCAGTCGGTGCTCCAGTCACATCCATGACCACATTGTCTTCATGGTTGTCATCTTGGGCCCAGCATCTGAAGGCAACCAAGCAGGAAGCCTGAGGCTCTGGTGCCTTCTTGTTGTCCAGTCTTGGCAGAAGGAGCAGATGCTGGACACATGTCCCTGCTATCTGCCTGGGACTTGTATGAACAGCAGCTTAGCCCAGAGAGGACAGCGGACTGAGGAGGGCTTGGCCAGGAAGCGACTGCAAGTGTTTCACCCTCCCATATGTTTCCTTTTTCTCTGCAAGTTTTTGCTAATCGATGTGGCGAAGATGAAGGAGGAAGAGCATGAATCCATCAATAAGTTTGAAATGGCTCTCATCGATGAGGTGGAGAAGCAGGATGAGCTGCACATTAAAATGCGACAGCTCTGGCAGGAGGACAGGGGGCCGGCATCAGAATTCAGGCACCACAAGCTGAATGAGCTCATGGATATGCAGATAGAGGTACAGTTTATTTTAAGTGGATTCAATCAGATGTGAGTCCTTTTTATCAACTAGAAAGCCTCCTGTTCACATGTGCAAAGCCATTTTCATTCATCAGAAAGGAAAAGTGAAGGGCCAAGGATTTAGCTCAGCGACATAAGTGCCTGCCTTGCAAGCATGAGGTTGTGAGTTCGATCCCTGGTACCAAAAAAAAAAAAAATTCACAAAGGAACAGTGGTCTGCAGGGTGACAGCTGGGGTTACAGAGTTGGCCCCCAATGGGCAGCTTCCCTTCTGATTGCTCTGGACTCCAGGAAGCAGGTGTAACACGAGCGAGTGGGGACTCAGGAAATTCCAGAGCAAGATTCCATTGAAAGGCTCTGTCTGTTGTTCTGAGAGAAGAGGAATACGTAGAATATAGAAAGCTCTCAAACTACTCGACCCCTTCTACATCTTCTTTTTTGTGCCCTGGGAGGCAGAAAATACTTCTTCGCAGCAGCTCCCAGCTTGACTGCCATGTGCGCAGAAAAGCAGCCTCAGTGACCCTGTGCATGGGGACAGTTAGTCACAGATGCCTGGCCATGACAGAGCTTGCTCTAACAGGCAACACTGAGGCTGTGCCTCTGTCACACAGCAGAGAGTGCCAAGGTGTTCCGATGCAGGTAACAGAAGTTTCAGCTTGGGACTGTGTTTCCTCGTTTGCTTTAAATCATTCTGAAGAATGAGAGTCCTGTAGGTATTTGCCTTTCTGTGATATGTAGGGTGCTGTGTGTCTCAATGGGTACTGAGATTCGAACCTTCCTGGTGGTGAGGCTCTTCAATACCTGTTTTTCACGCAGGAAATTCTCAAAGACTTCTCAGAAAACGACTTCCCCAGCATGAAAATTGAGCTTCAACAAGCACTGAGTGACCAGAAAGAAATGGTTCGGTTTTTGCAAGAGTGGTTGAGGACTCACTTTGACATAGAAAAGCTTAAAAACGGCCTCCAGGAACAGTATGACAGCATTTGCCAAGTGAATAAATTGTATCATAACAAAAAACATGTAAGTATGAATGCTTTGTGCTGCTTCCTCCTCACTGCCTTTTGCTTTAGCTTTTGTGTCTTGTTTGTAGAATGGCTGGATTGTGAGTAGCTTCATTTATTTATATATGCTTTACAAAAACACTGTTCTTCCCGGAATAGGTTGCTCTTAAGCTAATGAAGTACTGTATAAAAACCTGACTTCTAAGGATAGCAGACCCGTGGTGTTTGTAGTTTGGATAAGAGTCCTGCAGGGGTTGTGTCTCTGTAGAAACGCACGCTCTGTCCGTGGCCTGTCTGCTCAGTGTCTCGGCACTGCCTCTCTGCAGGTTTTTTGTGTGAAGAGGTTTTCTGCTGCTTGTCGCTGATGTCTTTCCTAGATCTTGTCTTTGTGGCCATGTCTGAAATGATCGTCAGACCCAAGGTCACCTGCGTTTCTCCTGTGCTGTCTGCTGAGTGTTAGTTTTTGCTTTATATTGAAGCCCAGGATCTGTTTGAAGTCATGCCCTGTATCAGGGTGCGGATCTATTCTCTTTATGGCAGGCCTGTGGTCCGTGTCGGGCGTCACCCCTTTGCTTGTGGGTGGGAACACTGCTGAAACTCTTCCTTCACCCCGTGCTGCCCATGCACCTGTGTCCAACTCAAGCAGCCCAGGATCTGTCTCTGCAAGCCCACCACTCCTGTGGGCCTGCACACAGTTGTTTTGTAGTTCCCGACATCCGAGGCCAGGTGCGCCCTGGCTGGAATTTTTATTATTGTCCCAAGGTGACTGGCCCAGGTGACCTGATTGCTAAGTAGCAACACTGCTCAGGACGAGTGTATTCACTTGCTTTGCTTTTTATCAATGAGTCTGTCTCTTCTGCTTTCTGATGTGCCCTCCTCCTGAGTGTGACTACGGAGGTCCAGTATCAGAAGGTTGCTTCTGTGGTTGACCTGATAGTGGAGGGAGCTGGGTCCAGTCCATAGCCTCCAAGTTGGCTTATTTCGTGTGTTTGAGGACTTCTCTTCTGACACTTTTCATTTCATTCATGAACAAAACATATGGAAATAAGGAATCGTGCTTTTAGATGAAAAGCTGTGAACTGGGTTGCTCATCCTGTCTTGAGAGTGGTCACCTTGTGAACCAATGATTGACTCTCTCCAAGCATAGTCCCCAGTCAACAGAGAAAGGCACAAAGTCAGCCCTTGATGAGGTAACCTCTGTATTGTGGGGTGGTACTGAGGACTCAGCTGTGGTTCGTTAGAAAGCAGGGATCTCCCCCTGTGGGCCTCTTTTGGCACCCTGCAGTAGGAATTGATAACTTTATGTAGTTTAAGGTCAGCAAACCAGAGCCAAAAAGAGTCCAGGGGACTAGGTATATGGCTTAGTGGCACAGTGCCTGGCTGACGTAGAGTCTAGGATGCCAGAAGCAACAAATTAACTGAAGATTGAACCAGGCGCAGTAGCGTGCACCTATAATCCTACTACTCTGGAGGCCAAAGCAGGAAGATTGCAAGTTCAAGGTCAGCTTAACCAGAGCCTGTCCCAAAATAAAATGGCAAAGGGGGCTGGGGATGTCCCTGGGCTCAGTCTGGAGTCCTGCAAGTCCCTGGGCTAGAAGACGTACCAGAAAACCCCAGAATAATGATCCATCAACCACAGGCATTTGTAGCAGGTACATAAAGTAATCTCTACAGAAAGTACAAAGGTAAGAGCAATGTTTTGATGTGGAGAGGATTGATTAAGTGCTTTCCTCTGCACAGAAATACAGTATTTGCATACTAATTACCAAATATCAGCTGAATGATTTCTGTTAAAAGCACAAGGTGTGGGATGAGAAGGAAGTGGGTGATTTCTATGTTTACCAGCTTTGGGTATCGGACATTCCATCCCCAGCCATGGCCCACTTCAGGGCTCAGCCATCACACTTCCTCCTCCTCCTCAAGTGTCAGCTCATGGCTGAGTCACATCACCTGTGCAGACCAGTGAGCCCCGCCCAGCCTTGCCCTGTTTATTCCCGATGTCAGCAGAAAATACCTGGACCTGCATAACAGGACAACCAGCAAGGAATCTGCATGTTCTCTGAAAGTGCCGTTCCAGGGTGTGCTACACAACGAACTTAGCATCTGCCCCTTCCCAGGATCCGTGTGCTTTCTAACGCTGTGATGGTGCTTGCCATTCACTAGGCCATAGTCGATGAGGCACTGATGTTTGACGAAAGAAGTGCTGCCAGATGCACAGAGCTGGAGCAGTACCTGGACTCAGCAAGAGAGGAACGCAGAGCGCTGCTCAGAGGCTGCCAGGTGCTGCCTGCCTCCCCAGGGTCCAGTGTCCAGAGCGAGCCTGTTGCATGGGCCGACAAGAGTCCTCGTGTCCCCCCAGGAGCTGTGCAGCTGGCCATACAGGTACAGTGCGTCCAGCCACATCCTTCAGCATTTAGCTTCGTTGTGGCATTGAAGCAAACATGTGCAGTAAGTGGTGTGTGGGTGTGAGACTGGCTGGGTTTTTACATGTAATTCTGCTGTCCGCTGTTCACTGAAACTAATTTTAAAGGTAGACTACACCCAAGTCTTCCTTTGGTTTGTAAAACATGCAAATTATAGCTGAATTTGAATACCGGATTCATACAATATGGGTTATTAGTACCCTCTAGGTTTTGTAAGTATTCACTATAAAGTCCCAAAGTCACATGGTTTCTATTAAAATGGAGTCTGTGGAAACAGACATTAACTGGAAGAAAATTAGCAGTTGTAGCTTATCTGACCTTTATGCCTTTATTATTGGTGTCTTGGTTACTTTTCTCTCATTGCTCAGAGATAATACCTGGCATCCAAAATAAAGAAAAAAAAAGTTTATTTAGCTTACGGTTTGTGGAGGTTTCAGTCCATACTCAGGTGGTTCCAAGTCAGGATAGTGTGGCAGCTTTGGCAGATTCTAGAAGCAACCAGAGTAAAAAGGCAAAAAAAAGGGAGAAGCAAGTGGCTTTCCTTCCCTTATGTTGTGTGCTGTGTCACCCCAGGGCAGGTGCAGCACTTACACTGCCAATCCCAGCACTAGACAATAAACCAATCACAAACTGTAGATTCAGCCATCTCCACGCTACATGAGGCTTTTGGGGGCCATCCAAACACAAACCATAACAATTGGTTATATTGCAGTCACAAGAAAAACACGAAAGTATAGCAAGTCTGTTGTGCTCATTGACTTGTGTGGAAGGATCCTGTATTACTTGAATAATCCAATGACATCATGAGCTTCCCTTCCACGGGAGCTGGCAAATGTTACCAGCCTGCTGCCCCATTGTGTCAGTACCCAGAATACTGAGTAGGGAACCCGAGAGGAAGCTGTCATTCAGGGATAGTGAACCTTTCAGAGCTTTGGTTGGTAACAAAATAGCTGGCTGTGACACATCTATATAAGTTCGCCACTGTTGGTACAGTGTATCGGTTTTGCCAAAACAAATAAATGGTAATAAAGCCAACCACATGTTTAATCATTAATTACCAATGGACACTGGGAAATCACAGATCCAGTGCTTTGATTTTCAGATCGCTGTATAATTTTATCAGCTGATAGGTATGAGACAGGGCAAAGATGAAACCTCCCTTGCCAAGCAATAGTTCACAGAAGCAGGGGAAATGATATCCTCCCCAACCCAAGAATCACCCCAGCAGATGCACACCCCAAGTGTGCAGAAGAGTGTGGCTCACAAGGGCATTGAGGGGAAAGAGCGAGGGCTTCATGTGTGGTCTGAAGCAGTGGCCTGGGTTCCTGTCTCCCATTAAACCACAGAAATTCTAGGTGGGCCAAAATAAAAACCAACTTATAAGTATGTGCATGTGAATACTATAAGTAGGAAAAAAAAGTTATTGAAGTTTATCCTAAATCAGAAGGTAAATATTCCCAAAACTGGGAATACTGTAAATGTTCATTTGTAGGTGACTAATTAATTAATGATGCTTGCATAAGATGAGATTTCTACCCATGTAAACAAAACCTGTGAGCTCTCTGCAAATGTCAGCAGCAGAAGCCCCATGTTCCGGGATGCTTGGGTATGAACTGGAGGGTGTGGGAAGTGCTCCCCGGATAGGAAGGTTTAGTACTCCCCAACTCAGGGCCTTCAGAGGCTCAGGTGGGAGACTTCATTGTGTACCTTAGAATGTCTCCACATTTGACTCTTTTAATTTCAAAGCTAATTAATAAAAGAAAAGGGAAAGATACGTTGCGTGTGTTCTTTAGAGAGAGTGAGATGTTCCCGATGAGTAGTGCTGCCCTGAGGTGTAAGTGGCTGTCTGCGCTTAGCGCTGTGCTAACCGCTGGATGACGTGACCCCGTGCTCTTTTCATCTGTGTCATTTAAGAATTTGCTAGCAGGTTATGTCAAAGTTTGGCAACTTTTAATCTAAAAATCTCCCAAGAGGGAATATTTCTGTAGATTGATTGTAGGCTTTAATTTTCTGTCCTCTGAAATGCAGCACCGCGTTAAAGGTGACCGTCTTTGTCTCAGCTCCATACTGTGATTCTGACTTCAGCCTGTGCCCTGCATGTGCTTCCTCTAACAGAAAATTCAGGAGCTGCAAACTTCCCTTCGAGAAGCGAAAGAAAGCGCTGTGCATAAGGAAGACAAGATTATACAGATGCAGAAAGAATTTGAACAATCCCGTGACCTCATAGTGAAACTTGAAGCCAAAGTTAATGAATCAAATAAATGCCTTGAAAAATCCAATGAAATGATCCAAGAACTTCAGGTAACTTCAGTCAGTTTATAAATAAAAGTTAATTTTTTCAAAAAAGCTGTTAAAATTGAAAAACAATTTGTTGCTGTGTTGTTGTCTCTTGCTGTAACTTTTCAAAATTCTCACAATGTGGAAATTCGTTATTCAAGCTAAAATAGATGAATGGATAGGGCTGGGGATTTAGCTCAGCGGCATGAGCACCTGCTTGGCAAGTGCAAGGTCATGAGTTCAATCCCTGGTACAAAAAAAAAATTGATGAATGGATAAACATCCTGTGGTACATGCATGTGGTGGAATATTACACAGCACTTAAGAGAAATAAGCTATCAAGGCATGAACATGTATGGAGAATCTTAAGTGCATTTTCTTAAGTGAAAGAGGCCAATCTGGAAACCCTACATACCATACATTTCCCAGTATGTGACATTTTGGGAAAGGCCGAACTAGAGAAAGGGTAAAAGGTTTGGTTGGCATTTGCTAGCAGGTAGGAGGAGAGAGGGTGGTGAGTAGGCAGAGCACAAACTCTGCCCTGCTGTGCTGCCGTCTCTAAGTGACTGGTAGTCTCATGTCTGCAGTGGCCCTCAGCCTGGTGCTTGGTGTTAGTAATCAGGGAAAGACGGCTGTGTGTGAGAAGCCATGTTTGCCTCTGATGTTTTCTGTAGAAAGTAAAGTCCACTGATTATTTTAAAGAAAATCTGACAGGTGACTATGTACATAGTTCTCTGAGAAGAACCAGATACGTCTTTGCCCAACTGAGCCGAGGTCTTTTGGTACCAAATGTCTCCATGGTGCTCTGGGACCTGGGTGCGGTTGCAGGTGATGCCCCGTCGCTGCCTGACAAGCTGTCTCCCGTGCCTGGCTCAGCCTTCTCCACCTCTCTCATCCGTCTTTCTGTTCTGCTAGTGGGCCACTTGTTTTCATTGGAAAGAAGCATTGGTCTAAAGAAATAAAAATTATGTCTTCCAGTACTAGCTCACACATACTTTGCTTAAATGTCGCCTTTCTGTTGGGTTAGAGCAAACGCTTCTCTGGGTTTTGATCCCTGTTAGAGCCAAGGCAGCTGATGACTCTTGGAAAATAGAGAAACTGAGACTGATCACTCTTCTGTCTGTAATACTTAGGACAAAGCCGCTCTAGGAGCTAAGCCATACAAGCACGAGATTGAAGTTCTGAAGACGGAGCTGGTGAAATCAGACCTGGATAAGAAGAAAATTGCCAAGGAATTTGAGAAGGAGTATGTCCTTGTTCAGTCTTTAAGTAACTTAAAAGTGACCTTTTCTTGATGCTCAGAACCTGGGGGAATGCACACTTGTGTTTGGTTAGGATTTGACCCAGGTCTCCGTTGGTCTCTTAATTCACCCTCTTCCTGTTGCATTTGTGGAAAGATAACATGTCTTGGCATCCAGGGCCCCAGAACATACCCTCTTCTGTTGACTGACCTCTGTTTTCTGGTTTAAATTCCAGCAGGCCCAGAATTCTTTGTGCTCTAACATAATGGATAGACTTTTCAGCAGGGAGTCCAGAAACTGAAGTGGCCGCTCCCTCTATTAGGTCCTTACATCATAATCAGTGAAAGGACAGGTCTAGATTCCCTAAATCTTCCTGAAGATATCTTTTGGATCCGGATACTTCTTAATGTTGAATAAGTGTCTACTAACGCCCTCTAATTCTGCCTGAGGGTAGCACTCTGAGTCCTCATGCTTCTAACCAGCTTTCTTTGATAAGAACTATGGTTTCAGTAAAAGTTACACTGCCAAGTTCCTAATTGTAAAACCCATTTAATTTAACATACTCCGCAGATATTTTCAGAGAGTGTTAGGATTTGTTTGTTGACTCTGCTGGGAATTGAACCCAGCACCTCGCCTATGCTAGGCAAGAGTTCTAGTACTGAGTTACATCTTCAGCCCCTTATAATTTTTATTTTGAGAGTCTCACTATGGTCCCCAGGCTGGCCTCAAACTTGAGATTCTCATGCCTTAGCCTCTTATTTAAGTAGCTGGGAATAGAGGTACTTAGCACTACGCCCAAGTGCTTTCATACCAGTGAAGAAAGGCAGAAAGTCATAATTTATCAGGGTGAACTAACAATTCAGGGACTGTCTCCCCGGGGAACAGAAGTCCACCCGAACTTGACCTTGCCCACCTCACGTTAGACCCCACCTTGGGGTGGGAGAGGGAGAGGCTGGGCCACCTGCTAGCGCTGTGGGGTGCTCCAAGCGGGGCACCTTCTCCACAGTCCGGCTGCATGGAAAGTGGTTGCTGGGCTTTTGCACACTTTCATCATTGTTCTTGTCAGCATTGCTTCTGCCAGAGCCCTCGTGGATCATCAGAAAGAAGTCATCCGGCAGCTAAGAGAAAACCTCAGGAGGAACCAGCAGGCACACGAGACCTCACGTGAGTCCCCAGCTCCCCAGCGCTGCCCTGGTCAGACTGGCTCCACTTCCTCCTCAGCGTGGCTCCCCGCTGTGCTGTCCATAGATCCTTGCGGGGCCACATTGGTAGGGCTTCCTGGGCTCTGTAATTGCTAAGCTGGGGCCCAGCACAGGTCGGGGCTTGACGTTCCCGGGCGTCTTCCAGGACTGTAGTGCTGTCAGCCCATCTGGAAAACTCCTAAGAGTTTTCTTCCAGGAGAAAGGCAGGTGAAGATTGTCCCTATGTGGGGTCAGGACTTTAATCTCGATTGGTGTGCAAACTGGAGTTCCCTTATCAGAAGTACTTAAGGTTTTGGATTTTTCCAGACTCTGAAATATTTGCACAAACATAAGGCAATGTCTTAGGCCTGGCACCTAAGTCTGAACACAAATCGATAGATTTGTGTTTCTTAGGCCCCTCATTGACATGACTGGAAGGTCAATTTACAGTGTTTCTAATAATTCTGTGCACAGAACCCAGTTTGTGTAGTGGCCACCAGAGAGCAGAGCAGCTCCCGTGGGGATGTCTAGGACATAGTCCCAGCTATCCATGTTGTGGGACCGAGGCAGGGCTCTGAGCACTGCTTGTGGGTGCACCCCCATCTGTGTGGAGCACTTGCTGGCTTTGGCCGATGGGGCATCCAGTGTGGGTGCAGCCCTCAGGTGTCCCGTATGCTGGGGTGGACCCCCAGGTTGTTTCCACCAGCCCCCAAGGAACACAGAAGCCAACTCTGGGGTCCACTGCCATGGCTTCAGGTCCTTGGGAGCTACAGCTGGGTGGAATGTGCTGAGGAGGAGTCTCCAGGCAACTTCCAGGAAGGGATGGAACATGGTTGCCATGGTGACTCGACCTGGGGGAAGAGTGGAATCACCAGCTGGTGTGCTTATCCTGCAGTGGTCCTAGAGCCCGGGCCTGACCCGCCTCGCCAAAAGCCCCTGACCTGCGGCGGGGGCAGTGGCATCGTGCAGAACACTACGGTGCTCATCCTGAAGAGCGAGTTCCTGCGGCTGCAGAAGGAGCTGGCGTCGCTGACGCAGCAAAATGAGCAGCTGATGCAGCAGAAGAGCGAGCTGCTGAGGTGAGCGTCGGGCCTGGTGTCTCTTTATCAGGAAGATGCCCGCAGTCCAGCCTGCGGGCATGCCTGTCACCAGGCCGCTGTGGGAAGCAGAGTGCGGAGGGGCTGACAGCCCTGCCCCTGGCTGTGACTTGGGGAGGAGAGCTGGAGGTCCGGCTGCTTCTCCCAGGGGATATCAGGGGCCCCGTGCCGGTGCCAGGGCCACTGCTGAGACACTGGAAGAGGGCAGGGCATAAAGTCTCACAGGGGCACAGCGCCTCCCAGGAGCCTCTGCGCACAGGCACAGCCTTCAGAAGGATGTGAAAGAGGACCAAAGTCCGGGAGGGAGGCAAAGATCAAAAAGGGAAATCAGAAGGGATCCAGAAGCCAGGGAGGGGGAGCACGGAGGCTGGGAGACTGTCCTGTTTATTAATAAAGGTTCTGACCAAGCCAGACAGAAGGCTGCCGAGCAAGTTCTCACAGCACAGGGGCCACCTGGCTGCTGCCGACTCCTGTGAAAACCTGTCATTTTACTTCAGAGTTTTGTTCAAAATTCTGTGATCACAAAGTCTTAGTTCAGCTCTTCAAATTATATAGACACTGAAAGCTTTAGGCTGGCGAGGCCTGGTGGCTCACACCTGCAGTCCCGGCACTCGGGAGGCTGAGGCAGGAGGATCAGTGGTTCAGAGCCTAACCCAGCCGGCATTATAAGCTGCGGTAAAAACAATAACAAGCAAGAACATTAGATTGCAATGTCAATGTGATAAAACAGTAGAGTTTATCCTGCGTGCATTTTACCACGCTTTTTCCCCACCTGGGCTGCGCTGCAGGGACTGAGTGGTCTGAGTGTCCCATTTTTGTTTCCTTTCCCTTAAGCAATAACCAGCAACTTTCCAAGGAGGTCAGCACTTGGAAGGAGAGGAGCCTCCGAAGAGAGCCTCATGGGGAAGTCACCTGCCAGCCAGTTCTGAGGTCCCCTGCTCGGGTGCCTGGGGACACCCCTCAGAAGCAGCAGGACATCCTTGCTCCACGGGGGGAGCGTAACGTGCAGGACCCTGTGCCGAAGGATTCGCCCAAGTCTCGGTTTTTTGACCCCCGCTCCAAGTCCTTTGTGACCCCTCGTCCAGTTCGCTACTTTGACAACTCCGGCCTGGGCCTTTGCCCAGGTAAGAAGAGGGACTGGTTGCCTGGGATCCAGGCGACCCTGGAGACTCCTGAGTTTTGGGGCTGGAACTGTGTGGCTGCCGGGCTACACTGCCTGCTCTCCAGGCCGCAGCACCTGGCATGGCTGCCTTTCCCCATGCTAAGTCTTCATTCTGCCCCTGCAGCCCTGTGCTTCCCCAGGGAGACAGGCAGCATAGTCAGGGACTCAGGGCCCCTGCTCCCTGCACAGACTGCTCTGTGAGGGCTTCTGGGCAGCGTGCGCCTGAGTCTGCTGTGCACAGTGAGCCATTGCCAGGGCCTCCGTCCTGGGGCCTGCTCACCTCCTCAGCCAACAGCAGAGCTTGCTGCTCCCGCTGCGTCTCGGGCTAGGCCCATGATGTGGTTCTGCCCTGCGGAGCTCGCAGCTGCAGCCAACAGGTCAGGGCTGGGTGCTGGGGTGCACGTGGTCCCTGGTGTGTGCCTGTCGCAGGGAATGGAGGCATCGGGTGAGCGCAGGCTGAGCCGTGTTCTGGGGGGGTGTAGGATGGGTCTGGGGTGCGCACCCTCCTGCAGGTCAGCATCAGTGTGCGGAAGGAAGCAAGCTCTAGCGGTGCAGAGGCTGTGGGTCAGGACTGAGTCCGCCAAGCTGACCCTGAGCGGTTCCCGGGGCGAGCGTCCAGCGAGGGCAGGGAGGGGCTGCAGGCAGATAGGTGGGGCGGCCTCCCCAGGACCAGTGCGTCTCTGGGGGGGGGAAGGGGGCCCTGGCTCTGCCTTGACATCCCCACCTCCCCACAGGCCTTCACAGCTCTCCTTTTGGTTTTTCTTTGCTTTCTCAGTGGAGCAAGCATCAGACACAGAGAACACGGACCCCAGGTTACCGCCCAGCACCTCCCTGAGGGATGCGCCCGAGTGCAGGATGCAGTAGGGCCCGCGGCCTGCATGCCGGCTGCCTGGGAACAGGGCTCTCGACCTGCTGTGTCCTCCTCATGCCACGTCAGCGGGCCGCACGAGCTCCGGTCCACCTTCACCCGGCCGCCGCCACTGGAAGATGAAGGAACAGGAGTAATGGAGATTGGTGACAGCAAGACCTCACGTGTGACGCTTTTAAATGTTGACTTATTTATTTATGTGTTGTAAAGAATGAAGACACTGGGGCTGGGGATTTAACTCGGCGGCATAAGCAGCTCCTGGCAAGTGCAAGGTCATGAGTTCAGTGTGTCGTGTCCCCTTCACCACCCCCCCCCCGCCATTGAAAACAAAGAAGTCACTGAGGGGAATCTCAGTCTGTCAGTGTGGGCACAGTATCCACAGCTGTGTTACTCACACGTTATTTGGGAATGAACAAAATTATAAACCCCTTGTGAGCACTTGCACACTGAATAAACATGTACTTCTGGATCGCAGTTGCAGCAACGTGAATGGTTTCTTGGTGGATCTCATCCTCTGCTCTCACTGGCGCTCAGGAGGTCGCTGTGAATGCTCGACTCGCCTTCTGGATGTCAGTTCTCTCGAGGCAGCAGGGGCTGTGTCAGCCAGACATCTTGGGTTTTAACCCTGCTTTCTTGGGCAGCCCCTCACCCTGGAGCAGGTTTGGTTCATGGAAACAGTTTCTGTTAAGGCCCAGCAGCAGGCAAAGGACGCCCTGTGCAAATGTCGCAGGGGCGTCACACCAAATCCGAGGGCCTATAGGCCATTCACCATAGGGTTCCCAACACCCCCTTCTTCCGACACCCCAGGCGCCCCAGGGTCCATCAACTCACCTGCCCCAGGGAGCAGAGCTCCCGTGCTCCTGGGCCCACTCACAGCAGCAGCAAAATGGGCTGGCATCACACAAGGTCAGATGCAAACACAGGACCTGAGCCCAGATGCTGAAGCCACAGTGCACAAGAGACTTCAGTAAGGAAAGAGCTGGGCACGTGCAGAAACGTAAGTGAGGGTTAAACATGGAGAAGCCAACCCTCAACACCAAGAGTAACAATGTCTCTGACACTGTGGTCAGCACCATCCTCACCCACAAGTGTTGAGCAGGTGTTCTGCGAAGTCTGCTAAGGGGAATTCCCTCCTCCCACCCTCAGATGGGAATCCACAGAGGTCTGGAGATGGGCGAAGAGCTAGCTCCCTTAGTGGGGAGACGTGGGCTTGCCCAGGTATTCCCACCTCTCTTTAATTCCTGACCTCTTTGCATGCTGAGAATCCCTTAGCTCCAAGTGATAGAAAAACCCTGAAAACCAGTCCCCAGGAAAGCTTATTTAAGATAGTTATGTCCAGCGCAGTGTGTGGAACAGACAAAGGACCTGCTGTCAGAGCCATTGAGCTCTTCAGATAGCTAACACATGGGTATCTTTGATTATTGGATTCTGTTGCTCTGTTTCTGTCTCAGTCTCCACACACACACACAGATACCCCATGTAGAGATGAATACTGAGAAGAAACATAAAGCCGGGTTAGGAGAGGAGAGGAGAGGAGAGTGGGATGCAGGAGGTAGATATGGTGGGGTCGGAGTGCTGGTTTCTTACAAACAACCTTCTCTGGGAGGCAGCAGACATGACAGAATAAACATGTAGGTAAAATAACCCATGATGACAGGGCCATTTTTTGTGGAATGCTGGAGAATGGCCTGGGGTGGTGCTCCTTTGGGTGAGATCTACAGCTCGGAGGAAGCCAGCTTGGGGGATAAAGGGCAGAGCTGAGCACACAGCGGGACAGCTGAGGCACAGACCCCCAGGCTCATGCAGTGGTCCTGCTCCTGAGGCAGTGGGCCGGGTCCTGGAGGCTGTCCTGAGGCATCTCCAATCGTGGGGAAGGGGAGGCTCGTGAAGGATTCCCAGGATACAAAACAAGGGAATCAGAAGGGATCCATGAATTCCTTCAGGTAAGTCCTTTCTGCTATCTGACTGTGAAGTCAAGATTCCTGTCCCCCTGCCCACCCTCCTGCCTGCCCTGTGCCTGCAGGCTGCCTGCAGCCTGTAACTCTCCCTGGAGGCCCCCCTGCCTCCTGTGCCCCCATCATTGTTATTGGCCAGGCTCAGCAGCCAGCAGACGCCTCACTTTCCTCACCCACCATGATGTCTGGGGTACTGCAAACCCAAGGCCCCTAGCGACCAAGTCCTGCTCCCCAGCTGTGCGGACCGCAGCAGCTTGCGGTCTCGGGTGAGGCTTCTGTCTCGTACCCAGGCTACAGGCTCAATGCCATCTTCCCAGCTCCTGCTCTCTCCAAGTCAGTGGTCAGTGTCTCTAAATTACTCTGGGGCCGCCTCGAGACTCCTTGGAACACGCCTGTCACCTCACCTTCTGCTCCCAAACTCGGTCATTTCTTGTGGAACTCATCAGTGTCCCTCTCACCGCCTGGTGGCCTCTGTGTCCTCAACACAGCAGGGAGTGGTCAGCTCTGGGCCGGTCACCTCTGTCCAGACGCTGCTGTCACCCTGTCACTGTCGCCAGCCTGATTTCTCTCAGGACCTGTCTCTTTCCTTTTGTTCTCTTTCCTTTCCTTTCCCTTTGTTTTCTCTGGAACTGAAATCAGGGCTTCTTAGTGCTTCCCAGCAGCTTCCCCACTGAGCCACACCCTCAGCCTGCCTTGGCTTCTTGTCCCTGTGGCCTGACTCCCCATTGCTGTCTACCCAGGCACACTGGCCCTGTGCAGCTTCCTGAGTCGCAGCCTGGCCCCTTCTCCCTGCTGCGCCTGCCAGGGAGTGGGCTCCACCCAGCTCCTCCATCCCTGGGATCCCGGGCTCTGCACAGATGGCCCTGCTCAGCTCACGCTGCCCGTGTACAGCAGCCATCCTGTCTGCTCCTTCCCTTTCTTTGCTTCTCTTCTTTTCAGACACTTATTTGGAGAGGGCGGACTGAGTTGGAACAAAGATCATTATACATACATTGAGTATTTGTAATTACTGACAGTCCAACTGTGTGCATACTAGTTTCTCTCCAGATTATTAAGCGGAGTGCAGTTTATGGCCCAATGGTGAGTTTTAGCTTTCCAGCTGTGACCTTGCATGCACTGCTTCCGGGTCACGGGCACACTGGCGCTGTGTAGAATAAGGTAACAGGAGGTAGGCTGCGACTTAACCGAAGTAGGCAGGGAAAGAATGAAGATTCAGTGATTTCTCCAGAGGTATGAAATTTCTGGACAGAGTGGCTTAAAATTTGGACACATACTGTGCATTAATAGGTAATTAAAGCATTTATTAACTTTTCCTTACCTGAAATATTCATGTGTGCATATGGTCAGCAAATTCAAGGAGCACAGGACGATTTGCAGTGAGAAATCTTCCCACAGTTGATCCCAGTAGCTGCCTGTAAGCAGCTGTCCCGTTTGCCAAGCTGCTCCCATCAGTATAACCCAGGGATGTGCTCGTTTGCATCCTGCTCCATAGTGCACATCTTTTTACACAACTAGGTGTCTGCTGTGGATGCTACTGTGTGCTCTGCTTAAAGTCTGATCCTCCTCAGGCAGTTCAAGAAGGGGAAGTGGATTTCTAAAGCATGCCAGTTGATATTTTAATTACTTTCCCCCCAAAATGTATTGTTTACAGCAAACTGAAGGGGGCACTGTAATCCTATCAGAAAGCATGGGGTGGCTTCTCATGGTGTTTTGAACTTCAGCATGGTGCAAATTTTAGGATTTGCAGAAGCTCATTATTATTAAATGTATTAAAAACATACATCAATTCAAGTTATCTGTCTTCACTTACTTTATGCATGCTATATAATATATAACAGCAATATATTTATGTCATCTTAGTCATATTTCCCCTTGGTGGGAGTACATTTTGTTTAATAGCTACTCTACAATTCCTGTCCTTGTTTGGAAGACATCTATTTGTAGTTATCAAAAGCATAATGTGTTCTTCCTTTTAATCATGGCTAAAGAGGATTTATGTGGCATCATGAAAACTGTTCTGATTTGGGTCAGTCCAAATCCAACATTTCTTAGGTACCAGGTCAGAAAATCATTTATCTCTGTGAGTAACCCCCCTTTTTTTTTCATGCACAAAATGAAGGAGTTGGATGAGGGGATTTCTGGGATCTTTTAGCACTTCAAAAAGTCTAAGGTCTTCATTTTTAAAAAGGATAAAAATTTAGGCAGACGTGGTGGCCTTTGACTGTAATCCCAGCACTCTGGGAGGCTGAAGCGGGTGGTTTCAGTTCGAGCCCAGCTTTGGCAACTTAGTGAGTCAGCGAGACCCTGCTTGAAAATAAGGAATTAAAAATGGGTTGAAGATGTAGCTCAGTACAAAGGCCCTGGGTGCGATCAATAGTATGACAAAATGGAAGAAAGGAGAGAAGAAAGGAAAGAAGGAGAGAATGGAAGAGAGACGGGAAGGAAGGAAAAAAGGAAGGAAGGAAAGGTAGGAAAAGAAAAAAGGAAGAGAGGGAAAAGAAAAAAGTAACTGTGAATTTTTTTCATTTTTTGCTACCGCAAAACCAAAACAAAACAAAACAAAAAAACTGGAAGCAAAAAACTTTTTTTGTTTTGGCACTGGGGATCGAACTCAGGACCCTGTACCTGCTAGGCAGATGCTTTTGCTACTGAGCTAAATACCCAGCCCCTAAAATTCTTGAATTGCCAGGAAAACCCATGTTAACTGTTTTTGCTACAAAAATTATGTGATGTACTATTATGCTAATTGGATTGACTAAGCCACTCCACAATGACATAATTTATAATTCCACTACTATAAAAAACTATGTAAGGTTGTCCAGCGTGAATGTTTCCTGTCCCATCTTTTTATCAAATTTCATCTTCCCTAAAGTGCCTGATAGTCATTAAAATTCTTTTCCACTCCTTAGTGTATTTAAGAAATCTCTATGGACAGATTACTGCATAATTTTATCAGGAAGGGACTCATTTAATATTTATTGACCTAAAATTTGCCTTTTATACTAAGAAATAAATATATAGATCTGTCTTTCTTTGTTCCCGACAAAACAGTCCGGTCTGTCTGTACTTTATTCAGGTGTTCTTTCACAATGACCCCCCACTTTGTCCAATTATGTCACAACCAAGAATAGGTGAGTGTCCACATCCTCGTCTTACTGTTGGATATTATCAATGCAGTGATTCTATTGTTTCAATTTTATAGGGAAAAGAACATTTAATGATCACTTTAATTTGAATCCCTAAGGATTAATGGAACTTAGCAGCCATTTTCGATTTGACTCATATTTAGATTTTACTTTTTGAATCATCCGTTTAGACTGAAACAGCCCTTTGCCCCTTCGCTTATTTCCTCACGTGCGTGGTGGGATTCGCGTACGATGGGTTACTTACCCAGCATGCATCACTTCTAGTCAGTCATTCATCTTTTAAATCACCCACACATACAGTTTGTTGTCTCCTCTTTACCTTCACCCATTTAGGAAGACTTTTTTCTCCTGGAGCTTCTAAAATGTTAGATTC